TGAAATAAAATATCTTGTCTAGTACAGTGGTTCGCAATCCGTGCTCCGCGATGCACGGGTTCTACGCGAAGCAACTTCAAGTGTTCCGCGGAGAAAAAAATATTAAAATTACAATTAAAAATTGAAAAATCAATACTGTGTTAAATTATTTTTGTATGAAATTGTATCCGGCAACTCAGAATTTAAATTGAACGTTTTTATCAATTCGACCATTGGTGTTGTGTGTGTGTGTCTGTCTGTATGCCTGTGTGTATGTCTGCGCGGGTCACATTTTCATTCTGCGCAGTGTGGATTATTTCGCTGAATTCCAGTATTTGTATAGATTTGATGTTTTGAATTAAATAATTTTCGTGGATATGGCGTCAATCAGTTTAGTGCTCCCCGACTTCAAAGAGATTGAGAACCACTGGTCTTGTAGTCTGCAAATATTTTTACCGTGATACTCATGCGTTCAATAAACAATCAGAAATCAATACATTGAATAAACACAAACGAACTTCATGCATTAAATAAACACTTACACTGCATTCTGCTATTTGATTTTCGCATTTGTAATGGATGAATTGGATGGCTATACTATAATTAATTTTTTATGTTGTAAGTTTAAACAAGTGGTCATATCTTTCATCTTCATAGCTGGATGGTGGATGCTGGCTAGTAGATGGTCGATGTTGACTGGTGGATGTTGACTGGTGGATGTTGACTGGTGGATGTTGACTGGTGGATGTTGACTGGTGGATGTTGACTGTTGGATTAACTGGTGGATGTTGACTGATGGATGGTGGGTGCTGGCTGGTGGGTGCTGGATGTTGGATGCGGATAGTGGATGCGGATAGTGAATGCTGGGTGTTTGATGGGGCTGGTGGATGTGGTCTGATGGATGCTGGTTGGCAGTGGATGACTAGTGTAAGATGAGTGATGGATGCTGGTTGGTGGATGCTGGTTGTTGGATCCTGGCTGATGGATGCTGGATAGTGGAAGCTGGGTGGTTACTGGTGTATTCTGGATGCTGGCTGGCGGCTACTCTTCGTTGTTTTGTAGGTTACTAAGGCCAGGATTTTAAGAAACCACATACGTTAGTGTTTTTTTTTTACCCTGATTTAGTTTCATCTCTTTTTATTCAAGAATTGTAGAATAATAAATGTGAAAGATGTGGTGTATGACGTCATCTTACAGGTATCCGATTATTCAGTAGTAGTTGTTTCCTAATTTTTATTTGTATCTTTAAACCTTAGTTGAGATATGGAATACAAAAATAAAACTTCGAAATTTGAAAGCAGCGCATAAAAAACAACAGTTGCATTCACAGCACAGCCACGAAAAAAATCCCTTCAATGTTTTAGGTTTAAGCGTCCTGCACTGCTTATTGCCTCCATGTACTTCCTGAACTGCGCCTAGCCTCCGAGTACTTCCTGAACGGCGAGCTACACTCATTAAAGAGAAGACAAAAAAAAGCTTCATTTTAAAAAATAGCAGATGAACAGAATTCTTTGGAGCATCACTACCGTATATAACCTGAGTCATGCGCTTGTAACTCTGATTGTACGGCTTGGCTATCGGTAGGTATGATTGAACGGCTTGGCTATTGGTAAGTATGATTGAACGGCTTGGCTATTTCCAAGACATGATGTTAACTATCACATACTTTTTATTGTTTTTTTGTTATTTTTTTAAATAGGATAACAGTTCTTTTCAATGATTGGATAAAAATCATGATTTTGATTCGAACACAATCTGATGGTTCTCTTAACACAATCTGATGGTTCTCTTAACACAATCTCATGGTTCTTTTAAAACAATCTGATGGTTCTTTTAAAACAATCTGATGGTTCTTTTAAAACAATCTGATGGTTCTTTTAAAACAATCTGATGGTTCTTTTAAAACAATATGATGGTTCTTTTAAAACAATCTGATAGAATATGTCTACGTTCATCCCTGTCAAGACTTAGACCTGGTGACCTAGGAATTGTGTGTCTGGAGAAGAGCATGGGAATTAAAAATGTGCGCCATTAATAAGTACCTACTATAACATAGAAATTTACTGTAACATAAATATGTACTACAACATAAATTATATGTACTTTAACATTCACACACAACAGATCAATTCAAAGGAGTGGATCATTGAAACAGTGAAATATAACGACACTATTGTCTGAAACATTACGTCACTATCGTCTGAAACATTACGTCACTATCGTCTGAAACATCAATAAATGGCCATCGTTCTCTTAGTGGTCGTTCGCAAATTACGTCACGCCCAGGTGGGGGAGGGGGGCGAGAATTCCTGACACTTTATGACAGGGGGGGGAGGTGGGCAAAAATGTGTGACGTCACTTTATTTAAAACAATCTAAAATTTTCTCAGTTTTAAAAATCTTTATTCATTTTATTTTAATGGTGGGGGAGGGGGGCGAGAATTCCTGACACTTTATGACAGGGGGGGGAGGTGGGCAAAAATGTGTGACGTCACTTTTTTTAAAAAAATCTAAAATTTTCTCAGTTTGAAAAATCTTTATTCATTTTATTTTAAAAACATTAATTTGAGATAGAAATTGCCATAAGTACTTAGGTATTATAGGTACCATGAAACTCAGCCGTGCAGACCTTCTGCGCATATCGAAAAATGACGCAAAAACTGATGTGGCCATTTTACATTCGGGTTGTGGATGACTTCGTTGTTTCGCGTCACATTTTTCTAATAATACAACATCTTACTCCATTAGGGAAATTGTTAAAGATTAAAATAAAATCTTGTTTAGTTATGAAAATTGTATGTATGTTTTGATTGTTTTTTCGATGTGACGTGACACGGGGGGGGGGGGGGCCGGGGGGGTCTAAAAGGTCATTGGTTTGCGTGACGTCAATTGCGAAAAGCCCTTATGGGCACAGTTTTAGAGCTATTGTAATCATTTTCTATATGTGACAGGCCAAATGTTGGCTATTTAAAGTCATGTTCATTTAGTACAGTACCAACCCATCACAATGTACAGCACATAACAAAGTACCCTATCATCACAATGTATCCAACCATCACAATGCAGCCAACCATCACTCTCTACCAGACTGTTACAATGTAAACTGTCCCGAAGAATAATCCAGTTCTTTAGACTGCACCATAAAATGCCAGTGTTCAAACTAAAAGTCTGTATTGGCCCCCCCCCCCCCCCAACTCCCAGCCTGTGAAATTGCATAGCCATCAAGAGAGTTCCAGCCAACATAGAGACCAATGAAACAAGGTGATCAAGTTCCCAATCAAAACCAATGAATGATGGCCAACAACAGACAAGGGTATAAACTTGGCCTTATAACCGCTTTTATCTCCATGTTGTTGACACTTTTATTACTCATTCTTTTTTTTTTTTGTATTCCTTTGTTTTGTTTTGTTTTTTGTTCTCATCAGCCAAAATGTCAGCGAGAATAACGTCTGCTGCTGGTGAGGTCAATCACACCATTCAAAGACTACAGGCAACGTGCAAGTGTGACGTTTGTGCTGGCCAATGTTTCATACGAGGTCATGTGTGTAGGTTGTGTTGGTCAATGGTTCATACGAGGTCATGTGTGTAGGTTGTGTTGGTCAATGTTTCATACGAGGTCATGTGTGAAAGTTGTGTTGGTCAATGTTTCATACGAGGTCAAGTTTGAAGGCTGTGTTGGTCAATGCTTCATACAAGATCAAGTGTGCAGGTTGTGTTGGTCAATGGTTCATACGAGGTCAAGTTTGAAGGTTGTGTTTGTCAATGTTTCATACGAGGTCAAGTTTGAAGGTTGTTTTAGTCAATGTTTCATACGAGGTCAAGTTTGAAGGTTGTTTTAGTCAATGTTTCATACGAGGTCAAGTTTGAAGGTTGTGTTGGTCAATGTTTCATACGAGGTCAAGTTTGAAGGTTGTGTTGGTCAATGTTTCATACGGGGTCAAGTTTGAAGGTTGTGTTGGTCAATGTTTCATACAAGGTCAAGTTTGAAAGTTGTGTTGGTCAAAGTTTCATACAAGGTCAAGTTTGAAAGTTGTGTTGGTCAATGTTTCATACAAGGTCAAGTTTGAAAGTTGTGTTGGTCAATGTTTCATACAAGGTCAAGTTTGAAAGTTGTGTTGGTCAATGTTTCATACAAGGTCAAGTTTGAAGGTTGTGTTGGTCAATGTTTCATACAAGGTCAAGTTTGAAAGTTGTGTTGGTCAATGTTTCATACAAGGTCAAGTTTGAAAGTTGTGTTGGTCAATGTTTCATACAAGGTCAAGTTTGAAAGTTGTGTTGGTCAATGTTTCATACAAGGTCAAGTTTGAAAGTTGTGTTGGTCAATGTTTCATACAAGGTCAAGTTTGAAGGTTGTGTTGGTCAATGTTTCATACAAGGTCAAGTTTGAAAGTTGTGTTGGTCAATGTTTCATACAAGGTCAAGTTTGAAGGTTGTGTTGGTCAATGTTTCATACAAGGTCAAGTTTGAAAGTTGTGTTGGTCAATGTTTCATACAAGGTCAAGTTTGAAAGTTGTGTTGGTCAATGTTTCATACAAGGTCAAGTTTGAAAGTTGTGTTGGTCAATGTTTCATACAAGGTCAAGTTTGAAGGTTGTGTTGGTCAATGTTTCATACGAGGTATATTTTTGTTTTTTAATTTGAAATTAAAAGATGAATCTGTTGTGTGATTATTTGGTAATTGTGCAATAAGACGAAATGAATTGGTGGAGAATGTAACGAGTTCTGAGGTTTGATTCTCTATTCTAGGAACTGGCGAGTAACCGGACGTGCTGAATGGGGAAACCATGTATGGATACGATGAACTAACAATAATCAGAAATGAACTATCAATTTTATTTTTTATTTTTTTTATTTTAAACTACCAGATCGCATTGGATTGCGCATGCGTACCAATGATGATTTTCTTTTTATTTGATCCGTTTCCGGGGACACAAAAAAATGGTTCCTTAGAATCTCATTTGTGACGTCATTGATGGGATCAACTGACGTCACCCCACTCAACAGCACAGGTCACCAACACACCGACAGCCAGCGCGCCGACGTTCAAACGTCCATGGTGGCTATTGGCGCCTTCGTACTGTCAGCGCTCATCATATTCGGGAATTCAACGACACTGCTGGCCATGAAGCGAACTCGGTCGCTACAGACGAAAGCCAACGCTTTCGTCGCCTCCCTGGCAGGGGCGGACCTCATGATAGGGTTTCTGCTGATTCCTTACGGATTTTGGCTCATCCCACACAACCACAATGGCGTCTTTCAAACCATTTCGTTTTGCGTTTTAATGATGTCGTCTGGCTCCTCCGCCATTGTGATAAGCATCCTCAGCCTGCTGCTGGTGGCCATAGACCGTCTCGTTTTTATCAGCTTTCCATTTTTCTATCAACGCGTGGTGACTAATGTCGTCATAGGAGCGAGCATCGCTTTCCCTTGGACGGTTGGTTTGTGTTTCGGGAATATCCAATGGTTCATCTACGCACCGAAAACAAATCCACCACGCTGCATGGCCAACAAGATTCTCCCATCTGTATATTTCAAATATGCCTCAGGATTGTTTTTCTTCATACCGTGTGTCGCCATTTTTGTAATCTACATTAAAATCGCAATGATTGCCCGGAAGCAGAGAATAGCCATCAAAAAGTTCAACATGGTCCAACCGTTTAGCGTCAATACTGTCCAACCGTTTAGCGTCCACACGGTCCAATCGTTAAACGTTAACTTGAGCGACAAAACACCCAAAATAAGCCCCAAACATTGGAAGGCCACCAAAATGATGATGACTGTTTTTGGCACTTTCTCCATCTGCTGGACGCCTCGGTTTATCCTCCACACTCTTCCTGACGATGTGTTTGACACTCGAGTACCGGTTATGCTGTACAACCTGAGCCTCATACTCGGACTGCTCAACTCTGGACTCAACTTTCTCGTCTATCCGCTCCACAACGTCGAGTTTCGCAGGGCGTTTCGGCAGATTTTCTGTTTCCACATGTGGCCATCATTCCAACCACAGTTAGACACGAACAGAGTGCATCCTAGCCACACCAGTTTTGTCATAAGTGATGTTCCCACATGTGGCCATCATTCCAACCACAGTTAGACACGAACAGAGTGCATCCTAGCCACACCAGTTTTGTCATAAGTGATGTTTCCACATGTGGCCATCATTTGGCCAAGACCGATCAATTAAAAAAACTTGTTGACATCTGTGTGCGGTCTCCAGGCAACTTTCAGGTGGAACAATTCAACACGGATCTTCTTTGGCGGGTAAAAAAAACGAAATATTATCTCAAGCATTCGATGTAGATATCTTGACATGTTTATATCTTGACATGTTTAGCTATCTTGACATGTTTAGATATTTTGACATGTTTAGATATCTTGACATGTTTATATCTTGACATGTTTAGCTATCTTGACATGTTTAGATATTTTGACATGTTTAGATATCTTGACATGTTTATATCTTGACATGTTTAGCTATCTTGACATGTTTAGATATTTTGACATGTTTAGATATCTTGACATGTTTATATTTTGACATGTTTAGCTATCTTGACATGTTTAGATATCTTGACATGTTTAGATATCTTGACATTTTTAGATGTCTTGACATTTTTGGATATCTTGACATATTTGGATATCTGGACATATTTGGATATTTTGACATACTTGTAACATGATTGCTGCTGCCACTATATTGAAGGGTGTAAATAATCCAAACCAAAACTCATTCATGCTAGAGGCAAACCGTACTCCCACTTAAAGGGCAATTAGTTACATCACTGTGTGAAGAGCGATTATTTACATCATTGGGTGAAGGGCGATCAATTAAATCTTTGGGCGAAGGGCAATTATTTATATCATTGGGTGAAGGGCGAATATTTATATCATTGGGTGAATGGCAATTATGTAACATAAGATAAGATAAGATGCGTTTATTAATCCAAATAAATGTAAATTTGTTTTGATTGCATTGCATATAATGTTCGGAAAATCCCTGAGAATTTGCTGCTCCCCAAAATTGGTCAGCAACAAAGCGTTTGGGGAATCATTGTGTGGTCAGAATAGCTGTTACATCAATGGCTGAAGGGCAATCATTTACATCATTGGGTGGTGAATGGCGATTATTTACTTCATTGACATGAAGGGCGAGTAGGCTAAGTTCGTTCAAATATCAACTTCATACACAGGGGGACCACATAAAACCGGTACGTCTGTGTGTAATCGGTGCAGCCGTGATCGCCTGTTTACATCGATGGTTGTGCGAAATCCTGTGAATGTGTACCGGTTTTAAATGGCCCACCAAGAATATCTTAGGGTTGGGCGACACAAGTGAAGAGAGTTCAAGGAAATGAGTTGCGCAAGGTTGGACACTTCCTGAAACTGGACACAACCAATCAACGTACGTGCCATCACAATGCCCACTTCTTCAACGAACATCAAAATAAAATGAACTAAAATAACATCAGACAAGTCCGTTGTCTTTTTCATATGGCGTAATGTAACTTGGGTGTAAAATGGTGTAATGTAAGTTGGACGTAAAATTGTGAAATGTAAGTTAGACGTAAAATGATGTAATGTTATTTTGACGTAAAATGGTGTAATGTAAGTTGGACGTAAAATGGTGTAATGTTATTTGGACGTAAAATGGTGTAATGTAAGGTGGACGCAAAATGGTGTAATGTTATTTGGACGTAAAATGGTGTAATGTAAGAAGGGCGTAAAATGCGAAAGCTTTTAAGGTGTAATTATATAATATAGATGAATGATTTGAACTAACCTAAAAAGTTAATCTTCGAACCGCATTGGTTATAGAGGCTATTTTGGTTAACTGTTCTAATGTTATTAACTGGTTACCCACTAACTGCCATTGAGACAGAAGCTCTGACGTCCTGACTGCTGCTGCTGTGGTGTTGCGGTCGATGTAAATATAATCAGCCTCTGTACAAATTAAAATTATAAATACATCAAAAGTTTCACTTTTATAAAGGATGGATAACTTTGTAAACTAGATTTATGTAACTTTTATTTAATAAAATAAGGGGCCATTTTCATTATTTCATTTTTTAAAAGAGGGGTGTTTGGGGGTGGGGGGTGTCGCAGAATTATGTGCTTTGGCCTAGGGCGTAGAAAAGCGCTGTTTTGGCCAAGTGGATAGGTATCAGTTCACCATTTTTATCTCCTCAGTTTAGCAACAGAGATTGCCAGATGTCATCATTATCTGTGTCAGTTAATATGTGCACTCATCTGTTGTGTGACAATTGTCATATTGTCAGTTATTTCGTGCACTCATTTGTTGTATGACAGATTTTTAAGTCAGTTAATATGAGTACTCATCCGTTGTATGTCAGATGTCATCATTAAGTAAGTTAATCCGAGCACTCAGCTGTTGTCTGACAGATGTCAATTAGTCAGTTAAAATGTGCTATCATCTGTTAACTGATAGATGTCATCATTAGGTCAGTAAATCATTGCACTCATCTGTTGTATGGGTCCCACTACTCTGTACTACTGTTATAATATAGTATAAAACTTCATTTATTCAATATTCTTCTTCATTAAATAATTAATATTTTGTAGTAATTTCGCTTTTATTCACGGCTGGCTGGATGGCAGGCAAAATCTTTGGACGGCTTATTGACACACTTCCTGTCAAGCTTATGAGCTGGAACTTTGCACATTGACTAAGTGTCGATGACAACACATAATGTATGAAATTAGTGCAGTCTCTCCCTTTATTATTCCCTTGTAATGTATGAAATGTGTGCAGTCTCTCCCCATTATTATTACTCTTGTAATGTATGAAATTAGAGCAGTTTCTCCCCTTATTACCCTTGTAATGTATGAAATTAGTGCAGTCTCTCACCTTATTATTACCCCTTGTAATGTATGAAATTAGAGCAGTTTCTCCCCTTATTACCCTTGTAATGTATGAAATTAGTGCAGTCTCTCCCCTTATTATTACCCTTGTAATGTATGAAATTAGAGCAGTTTCTCCCCTTATTACCCTTGTAATGTATGAAATTAGTGCAGTCTCTCACCTTATTATTACCCTTTGTAATGTATGAAATTAGTGCAGTTTTTCCCTTTATTACCCTTGTAATGTATGAAATTAGTGCAGTTTTTCCCTTTATTACCCTTGTAATGTATGAAATTAGTGCAGTCTCTCCTCTTATTATTATTACCCTTGTAATGTATGAAATTAGAGCAGTCTCACCGCCTATTATCCTTGTAATGTATGAAATTAGTCCAGTCTCTCCCCTTATTATTATTCTTGTAATGTATGAAATTAGTGCAGTCTCTCCTCTTATTATTATTACCCTTGTAATGTATGAAATTAGAGCAGTCTCACCGCCTATTATCCTTGCAATGTATGAAATTAGTGCAGTCTCACCGCTTATTACCCTTGTAATGAATGAAATTAGTCCAGTCTCTCCCCTTATTATTATTCTTGTAATGTATGAAATTAGTGCAGTCTCTCCTCTTATTATTACCCTTGTAATGTATGAAATTAATGCAGTCTCTCCTCTTATTACCCTTGTAATGTATGAAATTAGTGCAGTCTCTGCCCGTATTACCCTTACTCTAATTCACAGGAAAAAAAATGAAACATTTTGGGATTTTTCTTTAGGAGGATAAGCAGGTTCATTAGTCAGCAAGTGACCTCTGTCCACAAGTGACCTCTGTCCACAAGTGACCTCTGTCCACAAGTGACCTCTGTCCACAAGTGACCTCTGTCCACAAGTGACCTCTGTCCACAAGTGACCTCTGTCCACAAGTCATCTCTCTCCAAAAGTCACCTATGTGCACAAGTCACCTCTCTCCACAAGTCACCTCTCTCCACAAGTCACCTCTGTCCACAAGTCACCTCTGTCCACAAGTGACCTCTGTCCACAAGTGACCTCTATCCACAAGTGACCTCTGTCCACAAGTGACCTCTGTCCACATGTCATCTCTCTCCAAAAGTCACCTATGTGCACAAGTCACCTCTGTCCAAAAGTCACTTCTCTCCAAAAGTCACCTCTCTCCACAATTCACCTCTCTCCACAAGTCACCTCTCTCCACAAGTCATCTCTCTCCACAAGTCACCTCTCTCCACGCACCTGGGGAGATCATGTGTAGTAGTTGGGTCAATCGAGATAATTCTGAAAAATTCTGTGTTTAAAGGTTTAAACAGGATACAGTCAAACCATGGGACACATATCAGTTTAACAAGACACAGTCAAACCATCAGACACATATCAGTTTAACAAGACACAGTCAAACCATCGGTCACATATAATTTTAACAAGACACAGTCACATCATCGGTCACATATCAGTTAACAAGACACAGTCACACCATCAGTCACATATCAGTTTAACGAGACACAGTCACACCATTGGTCACATATCAGTTTAACAAGACACAGTCACACCATCGGTCACATATCAGTTTAACAAGACACAGTCAAACCATCGGTCACATATCAGTTTAACAAGACACAGTCAAACCATCGGTCACATATAATTTTAACAAGACACAGTCACACCATCGGTCACATATCAGTTTAACAAGACACAGTCACACCATCAGTCACATATCAGTTTAACAAGACACAGTCAAACCCTCAGTCACATATCAGTTTAACCCACTAGATCAGCCGATTTCCTCTTTCTTAACTGTATCGGCCGATAAAAATTGCGTTGAAAGAATAAGTTACTTCTCTTGGCTCCCTTATTTTATCTCTATCATGGACAAGTCTCTATGACCTGTTCATTGACAAATCTCTATGACCTGTTCATTGACAATTCTCTATGACCTGTTCATTGACAATCCTCTATGACCTGATCATTGACAAGTCTCTATGACCTGTTCATTGACAAGTCTCTATGACCTGATCATTGACAAGTCTCTATGACCTGTTCATTGACAATCCTCTATGACCTGATCATTGACAATCCTCTATGACCTGTTCATTGACAATCCTCTATGACCTGTTCATTGACAAGTCTCTATGACCTTATCATTGACAAGTCTCTGTCTTCACCACAGGAGGTATGCTGATCTCACAATGACATCAACACAATACCAGCACAGCACAATTCAAAAATTATAACTGACGAGGAATAATAATAATTTTCAAAATGTAACGCTTTATTTGAGCAAGTTACTCCCCCTGTAACAAAGAGTCTTTCCACACTGGAACAATAATCCAGTGTTCAACCAATGTTAAGTGTTCAACCAATGTTAAGTGTTCAATCAATCAATGCCATAAAAACAAAATCGCTGTAATATAATATTGCCTCAACATGACAAACTGGCTCCCAGCAGGAGTGACCACCAAGTTGTGTGATTACCATAAGGACACTTCACTGTTTTACAATTATCTGTTTTCATTGTCCAGAAAAATATTTGTACCCTTTTTCCCTCACTTGTTAGACAATAACCAATTTTTTAAAAATGCCCTTTAGAAATATTGCGTGTCTTTTATCTATTTTTGGAATAAATTTGTGATGTATTTGTTTGTGGATGTGACAATGTCATGGTGGTTTCCAGAGGATGCTGGTAAGAGAATACTATTGGGGGACATTCACTTTCACAACTGAAGGCTCTGTCCAGCAGTTTGGGGACCATGAAATGAGATTTAATGCTAAACCATGAGAACCTCTGCTCAGGAGCCAGGGGTCAATGCCTTAAGAATGACAGACTTTAAATGCCAGGCCTTGAAATGATCAGACAATTGCAGCAGTCTGCCCAGTGGTTTGCTCAGGTCGGTATCGCTGCCCACACATTTGACAACAGCTCGGATCTCGGTGCTGCTGCACTGGCTGTTCAAGTAGGTCATGAGGTCAGAGATGTAGGGACTGCCTGTGTCTGTGAGGAGAGTCTGAGGGAGAGATTAACAGTTTGGCGTTTAGAGTAATGGAGAGGAATACAGGCAGTACCAGTACTTGATTTATGAACATTTGATTTTAGAACATTTGATTAATGAACATTTGATTTATGAATCTTGTTAGAAGTGCCACAAACATGACAATTTTAAGGTATTGAGAAGAAAATTCTTAGTCAATTAAAATTTATACATTATAAACAAAACACCAAAACAGCAACTTGACTTCATGTTCAGGCCATTTTGTTACAGTCAAATGGACACATGTTAAATGACAGCAAACATTTATGATCACATCATATGTGGAAATAGTGCATAATGACAAAACTCTAGGAATGGAACTGATTCGTAAATCAAAATTTGCCTGTACACAAACAAAAGTGAGGATTACTCAAATAATGTCTAGTAATCTTGAAGTAATGGTGCGCAATGTTCAAGTAATTGGTTATAACAGGGGTCTCAAACTCAAATAATCCGTGGGCCGCAGGAGGTAGAGTCTGAGTGAGACTGGGCCGCATCAATTATTCCACAGAAAGGCAATAACAAATTCACTAAAGTACAACAGTTACAATGTGCTCAACCTTTATCAATAACAAATAAAAACATCAAGGGTTCTCAAGAAATACACTTTCTTCCTCCAACTCCTTGTTGCCATAGACCTGGCAGAGCTTCTTCTTACACAGCTGAGCAACATTTGGCTTGAGTGAGGAAGCAACGGAGACCCTCAGTATAGCTTGAAGATGCTCATCAGTAAGTTTGGCACTGAACTTTGACTTGATAAAGTTCATAGTAGAAAAAAAGCTTTTCACACAGATAGGTTCTCCCCAAAAAGGCACATGATCCGCTTGAACAACCAGAAAATCTCAGGGAAGGTAGAGGGCAATGCTGTCATAAATTCTCCGTGCTTGTCTGTTTTTCCTTTCTCCTTCCTGAACTTAGAATTGCACTGAAGATCAATTAGCTCGAATTTGAAGCGAACAGAAAAGGGGGGGGGGGGGGGGGGGGCAATCTTCCACATTAAAGGAGACAGGGTCAGCAAAAAGTTAAAAAGTGGCTGTGTGTGTTTTGAAGTCTGCAACATGTGATCAAATTCTTCCTGTAATGGCATCAGTGTACTTACTACTGAATCGTGTGCCGAGTCCATGAGTACTTTGCATGTTGGGAAATGGCAGAGGTTTCTCTAAGAACAATAACACAAGTTTTGTGCAAAATTCCCTGACATTGTCATATGCAACACTGACAAGCTACCCTTGGTCTTTTAAACTTCTTGTTGAGTACATTCAGCTCCATTTGTAATGTCAACGAGAAAATCCAAGTCCATGAGCCATTTGGGATCACTTAGTACAGGAACAACCACCCCATCCTTCTCCATGAAGGCTTTAAAATGCTAAAACGTGTTCAAGCAGTAGGCAGGAGCAGGCAATATTTATGGATTATTGATGTGAAGGAAGATGCTATTGTAGGGAGAATGAATTCTGATTTTTTATCGCAGAAAAGGTGTTTTTGACTAGCGCTATTTTGAAAGTGACCAAGCTGACAGGCTCGGAATTTCCCTCACGCATAAATACAAGAGGCAATTTTAATAGGGATTCTTTGATACTGTGTCAGATTGCTACGATTGACACAATTATGGTTGTGCATTACCCTCTAACTGACTTTTAAACCTTTCTCAAAACAGAACTTTGGTCATGTTTGTCTAATAAAATGCTATAAACTAAAAACCTTTAGTCCGATTTTAAAACCGGTTTTACCATTATAATCAACGTCCAAATCTATACAAAGATAATAAAAATCAGATTAGACTAGTTGGTGAGATTCGAGTGAAACTGTCACATTTTAGAAATTAGAATGGGGAAAACGCGCGGGCCGCATTAACACTAAACGCGCGGGCCATGAGTTTGAGACCCCCTGGATTTGAAGGACCAGTATAACAATAATTTTATCAACGGGATTATTCCAATTAAATTCCATTTAACAAGTAGACAAGACAAGATGATATAGACAAGACAAGGTGATGTAGACAAGAAAAGATGATGTAGACAAGACAAGACAAGATGATGCAAACAAGACAAGATGATATAACCCACCTCTCTGAGGTTGTTTAAGTAATCACTAAGGAACTCCTTGATGGCCACCAGTAGCTTGTGATATTTTTCTCCATTAAAACCCTTGTCAGAGTTGTGAGACATGACATCATCATCATCACTGCCGCCACCAGAGTTGTCCTCCTCACTGCTGCTCTCAAATTTCGGCACATTTTTTAGCCCAGACTTCTTGCATTGGTCATTGGACCAATCAGAACAATCTGAGGCTTTGGCCAGAGCTTCCTGTTCCTTGTTGACCTTGCCTGCTAAAGGCCCTACTTTTTGTTCACCTTCCTCCTTGTTTGACATACCGCCCCCCTGGCTACGGGTGGCTGTACTGCTGTCCATCTCATCTCTTTTCTCTGTGTCCATTTCTTCAAAGTTCTGCTGGGGTGAGAAGCCACTAGAGTTCCTGGATTCTGATTGGTCAAACCTGTCATGTGGCTCGATCCGCTTGACACGAACGGAAGCTGTTGAGCTGTTATCAACAGACCCTGTTGTTGTCTCTTCATCCCCTTGACCGTGGCCACCTTTCTCCTCACTGCTGTAAGTGACCTCATTCTCTCTTTTATCAGCTTTATTTTCTTCCTTGCCATTGACCTTGGTAACAACTATTTTTTTCTTCAACTTTTTCTTCTCTCTTGGACGTTTCCAAGTTTCCTCCGCAAACTCATCGTCGGCCAGCGGGGACGACATTCTGCGTTCCGACCAGGACACCTCAAGCTCCTTGGCACGGTGGATCTGTTTCGGGCTCGGGTCAGGGGTGCGGAACACGGAAGTCTGTGCAGCACTGGCGGCGTCTGCTCTCTCGGACCACGATGCAGCATCTTTTGGTTTGACCGAAGACCCAGAGTCCTCACGGCACTGCCATGATGATGCAGCTGTTTTGGAGGTATTGACAGAATGAGTTGTCGCTTCCCCTTTGGGATAAGCAATAGCTTTATAGCATCCAAGCTTTCGGTAGACCGCGACCAGCGTCTTCAATACACAGTGGGCAAAACTAGGAGCTGAAATAGAGCAAATAAAAGAGAAGTGATATTAATTAGACATCAAATAAATGTCTTAGAGATATTAGACATCAAATAAAAGACAACTTATATTAATTTGCTGGCATCCATCTGAGATATCAAATAAATGTCTTGTTATATTTATTTGAACTTAATTCCAAGGAAGATTTAGCTTCACCTTGACCGGTTTGTGAGTTTAAAAAAAATTATATATTTCTCATTTATGAAAAAAGGACAAATTGAAATTCTGTTTTATTGTTTTTAATTTCTTTTTGATAATGTAGTTTTGGAGACTTTCACAATAAAAGATCTATTCTCAATGACCATTTTTAAAAAAAATTTGTTTGATTTGTTGGTTAATTTCAATTATGTATGGAAAGCTTGATCAAGAATTCAGAGAGCTAAAACTTTTTTACTAGCTTCATTATAAAGCTGTAGTTTTCATTGTGACGTGTTTTTAGTTCTCATAGTGACGTGTTGTTAGTTCTTTTAGTGAGGTGTTGTTAGTTCTCATAGTGAGCTGATGTTAGTTCTTTTAGTGAGGTGTTGTTAGTTCTCATAGTGAAGTGTTGTTAGTTCTTGTAGTGAAGTGTTGTTAGTTCTCATAGTGAAGTGTTGTTAGTTCTTGTAGTGAAGTGTTGTTAGTTCTCATAGTGAAGTGTTGTTAGTTCTTGTAGTGAAGTGTTGTTAATTCTTGTAGTGAAGTGTTGTTAGTTCTCATAGTGAGGTGTTGTTAATTCTTGTAGTGAAGTGTTGTTAGTTCTTGTAGTGAAGTGTTGTTAGTTCTTGTAGTGAAGTGTTGTTAGTTCTCATAGTGAAGTGTTGTTAGTTCTTGTAGTGAAGTGTTGTTAATTCTTGTAGTGAAGTGTTGTTAGTTCTTGTAGTGAAGTGTTGTTAGTTCTTGTAGTGACGTGTTGTTAGTTCTTTTAGTGAGGTGTTGTTAGTTCTCATAGTGAGCTGTTGTTAGTTCTTTTAGTGAGGTGTTGTTAGTTCTCATAGTGAGGTGTTGTTAGTTCTTTTAGTGAGGTGTTGTTAGTTCTCATAGTGAGGTGTTGTTAGTTCTCATAGTGAAGTGTTGTTAGTTCTCATAGTGAGGTGTTGTTAGTTCTTGTAGTGAAGTGTTGTTAGTTCTCATAGTGAAGTGTTGTTAGTTCTCGTAGTGAAGTGTTGTTAGTTCTTGTAGTGAAGTGTTGTTAGTTCTCATAGTAAAGTGTTGTTAGTTCTCATAGTGAAGTGTTGTTAGTTCTTGTAGTGAAGTGTTGTTAATTCTTGTAGTGAAGTGTTGTTAGTTCTCATAGTGAGGTGTTGTTAGTTCTTGTAGTGAAGTGTTGTTAGTTCTCATAGTGAAGTGTTGTTAGTTCTTGTAGTGAAGTGTTGTTAATTCTTGTAGTGAAGTGTTGTTAGTTCTCATAGTGAGGTGTTGTTAATTATTGTAGTGAAGTGTTGTTAGTTCTTGTAGTGAAGTGTTGTTAGTTCTTGTAGTGAAGTGTTGTTAGTTCTTGTAGTGAAGTGTTGTTAGTTCTCATAGTGAGGTGTTGTTAGTTCTTGTAGTGAAGTGTTGTTAGTTCTCATAGTGAGGTGTTGTTAGTTCTTGTAGTGAAGTGTTGTTATTTCTTATAGTGAGGTGTTGTTAGTTCTTGTAGTGAAGTGTTGTTAGTTCTCATAGTGAGGTGTTGTTAATTCTTGTAGTGAAGTGTTGTTAGTTCTCATAGTGAGGTGTTGTTAATCCTTGTAGTGAAGTGTTGTTAGTTCTCATAGTGAAGTGTTGTTAGTTCTTGTAGTGAAGTGTTGTTAGTTCTTGTAGTGAAGTGTTGTTAATTCTTGTAGTGAAGTGTTGTTAGTTCTCATAGTGAGGTGTTGTTAGTTCTTGTAGTGAAGTGTTGTTAGTTCTCATAGTGAGGTGTTGTTAGTTCTTGTAGTGAAGTGTTGTTAGTTCTCATAGTGATGTGTTGTTAGTTCTTGTAGTGAAGTGTTGTTAGTTCTCATAGTGAGGTGTTGTTAGTTCTTGTAGTGAAGTGTTGTTAGTTCTCATAGTGAAGTGTTGTTAGTTCTTGTAGTGAAGTGTTGTTAGTTCTTGTAGTGAAGTGTTGTTAGTTCTTTTAGTGAAGTGTTGTTAGTTCTCATAGTGAGGTGTTGTTAATTCTTGTAGTGAAGTGTTGTTAGTTCTTGTAGTGAAGTGTTGTTAGTTCTTGTAGTGACGTGTTGTTAGTTCTTTTAGTGAGGTGTTGTTAGTTCTCATAGTGAGCTGTTGTTAGTTCTTTTAGTGAGGTGTTGTTAGTTCTCATAGTGAGGTGTTGTTAGTTCTTTTAGTGAGGTGTTGTTAGTTCTCATAGTGAGGTGTTGTTAGTTCTCATAGTGAAGTGTTGTTAGTTCTCATAGTGAGGTGTTGTTAGTTCTTGTAGTGAAGTGTTGTTAGTTCTCATAGTGAAGTGTTGTTAGTTCTCGTAGTGAAGTGTTGTTAGTTCTTGTAGTGAAGTGTTGTTAGTTCTCATAGTAAAGTGTTGTTAGTTCTCATAGTGAAGTGTTGTTAGTTCTTGTAGTGAAGTGTTGTTAATTCTTGTAGTGAAGTGTTGTTAGTTCTCATAGTGAGGTGTTGTTAGTTCTTGTAGTGAAGTGTTGTTAGTTCTCATAGTGAAGTGTTGTTAGTTCTTGTAGTGAAGTGTTGTTAATTCTTGTAGTGAAGTGTTGTTAGTTCTCATAGTGAGGTGTTGTTAGTTCTTGTAGTGAAGTGTTGTTAGTTCTCATAGTGAAGTGTTGTTAGTTCTTGTAGTGAAGTGTTGTTAATTCTTGTAGTGAAGTGTTGTTAGTTCTCATAGTGAGGTGTTGTTAATTATTGTAGTGAAGTGTTGTTAGTTCTTGTAGTGAAGTGTTGTTAGTTCTTGTAGTGAAGTGTTGTTAGTTCTTGTAGTGAAGTGTTGTTAGTTCTCATAGTGAGGTGTTGTTAGTTCTTGTAGTGAAGTGTTGTTAGTTCTTGTAGTGAGGTGTTGTTAGTTCTTATAGTGAAGTGTTGTTAGTTCTCATAGTGAGGTGTTGTTAGTTCTTGTAGTGAGGTGTTGTTAGTTCTTGTAGTGAAGTGTTGTTAGTTCTCATAGTGAGGTGTTGTTATTTCTTGTAGTGAAGTGTTGTTAGTTCTTGTAGTGAGGTGTTGTTAGTTCTCATAGTGAAGTGTTGTTAGTTCTCATAGTGAGGTGTTGTTAGTTCTTGTAGTGAAGTGTTGTTAGTTCTTGTAGTGAAGTGTTGTTAGTTCTTGTAGTGAAGTGTTAGTTTTCTTAATGAATTGTTGAGAATTCTCGTAGAGATATGTTGTTAGTTCTCGTTGTGATGGTTACTGAGAGTTTGTGTTAGAGATGCAGCTGATTCTCAGATTTCGAGTAATATATTTGGTCATCGAGTTCAGTGTTTATGAGGTTTCCATCAGTGTGGTATTCGTGGCAGTGAACAGATTCTGCTATGTTGTGTTATGTCGTGTGATGACCTATCAATACCCAGTCCCACCAACAGAGCCCTGTTTCATTCAAGCCAACCTTCATTTATTGAAGTGTTTAAATAGCAAAGTTTAGAGATGTTCCATTCATTTGGGGCTCATCCAATTAAGTATATCATTTGATTTACATGGGTCCTGATAAAGATCTTATCAAACATGGCTCTACTCACTGGGCCCATCCACTGCATGGCAAACACAATTCACACACACAAAAACCTCATCATCTTCCACATGGTCCTCCATTGGACACTAATGGACCATGAAGAAATCAGTCCCCCATTGGACACTAATGGACCATGAAGAAATCAGTCCCCCATTGGACACTAATGGACCATGAAGCAATGGTGCTCTCAGCAACATTGATAAATTTGTCTGCTCCATCACCATCTTAAGCCAACAGTGAACACCTTATTTGAACAAGTCTGACTGATATGACCTTGGTAATAGAGATATCTTTGCAAAATCTATATTCCCTTAGAATACATTTCTATTCACAAAGTACTAGTGGGGAGAGAAGTGGGTGAATATTGGTGGGTGGAGAGAGGTGGATGGAGATTGGTGGGTGGAGATTGGTGGATTGAGATTGGTGGGTGGAGTGAGAGAGAGTTGTGGCAATTTATACTCAAGACAAAAGGCTGAGGCCTTTACAAACTTCCAAATTAAAAGAGAACGAAGGGAGAAGTGAGAGATGGAAGGGAGAAGTAAGAGATGGAAGGGAGAAGTAAGAGATGGAAGGGAGAAGTGAGGGAAAGAAGGGAGAAGTGAGGGATGGAAGGAAGAAGTGAGAGATGGAAGGGAGAAGTGAGAGATGGAAGGGAGAAGTGAGAGATGGAAGGGAGAAGGGAGAAATGGAAAGGGGGTTTAAAGACGGAAGGGAGACGTTAGAGATGGAAAGAGGGGTTTAGAGAAGGAAGGAAGAAGTGAGAGGTGGAAAAGTTCGGGGTGCGAGAAGGAAGGGAGAAGTTAGAAATGTAAAGGAGGGTTTAGAGAAGGAAGGAAGAAGTGGGAGATGGAAAAGAGGGTGAGAGAAAGAAGGGAGAAATGGGAAGGGTTTTTAGAGACAAATGGGAGAAGTGAGAAATGGAAAGGGTTTTTAGAGACGGAAGGGAGAAGTGAGAGATGGAAAGGGGGATTTAAAGAAGGAAGGGAGAAGTGCGAGATGGAAAGGGGGTTTAGAGAAGGAAGGGGGAAGTTAGAAATGTAAAGGAAGGTTTAGAGTAGGAAGGAAGAAGTGGGAGATGGAAAGCGTAGGGGGTGAGAGAAGGAAGAAGTGAGAAATGGAAAAAGGGTGAGAGAAAGAAGGGAGAAGAGTTAGAAATGGAAAAAGTGGGTGAGAGAAGGAAGGGAGAAGAGTTAGAAATGGAAAAAGGGTGAGAGAAAGAAGGGAGAAGAGTTAGAAATGGAAAAAGGGTGAGAGAAAGAAGGGAGAAGAGTTAGAAATGGAAAAAGGGTGAGAGAAAGAAGGGAGAAGAGTTAGAAATGGAAAAAGGGTGAGAGAAAGAAGGGAGAAGAGTTAGAAATGGAAAAAGGGTGAGAGAAAGAAGGGAGAAGAGTTAGAAATGGAAAAAGGGTGAGAGAAAGAAGGGAGAAGAGTTAGAAATGGAAAAAGGGTGAGAGAAAGAAGGGAGAGGAGTTAGAAATGGAAAAAGGGTGAGAGAAAGAAGGGAGAAGAGTTAGAAATGGAAAAAGGGTGAGAGAAAGAAGGGAGAAGTAAGGGATTGAAAGGGGGTTTAGAGATGGAAGCGAGAAGTGAGAGATGGAAAGGGGGGTTTAGAGAAGGAAGGGAGAAGTGAGAGATGGAAAGGGAGTAGAGAAGGAAGGTAGAAGAAAGAAATGGAAAAGGGGGGGGGTGGGTTGAGAGAAGGAAGGGAGAAGTGAGAAATGGACTGGGGGTTTAGAGATGGAAGGGAGAAGTAAGGGATGTAAAGCGGGGCTTAGAGATGGAAGGGAGAAGTGAGAGATGGAAAAGGGGGGTGAGAGAAGGATGGGAGAAGTGAGAGATGGAAAAAAATGGGGGTGAGAGAAGAAAGGGAGATGTAAGAGTTGGAAAGGGGGGGGTTGAGAAAAGGTAGAAGTGAGAAATGTAAAAGGGGTGTGAGAGAAAGAAGGGAGAATTGATAAATGGAAAGGGGAAGTGAGAAGTGAGGGAATGGAGAAGTGAGAGAAGAGAGAAGTGAGAAGTGAGGGAATGGAGATGTGAGAGAAGGGAGAAGTGAGAGAAGGGAGAAGTGAGAGGTTGAAGTTGGGGGAAGTGAGAGAGATTGATGAGACATAGTGGTGATGAAAAGGTCACTATTTCATTGTTCTAAGAAGGTTTGAAAGGTCTGACCTATCTGAGATATTCAAGTGAATCCAAGCATTAAATGAACCAAGACCCTCCCTCATTAAGTTCATGTCAAACATTGATTCGCCTGAACTTGTCAGCTTACAGGGACACGGGTGAGATTAGATGGCAAGATTAGTGGTCCCAGGGACACAGGTGAGATTAAGTGGCAAGCATAGTGGTCCCAGGGACACACGTGAGATTAAGTGGCAAGCATAGTGGTCCCAGGGACACAGGTGAGATTAAGTGGCAAGCTTAGTGGTCCCAGGGACACAGGTGAGATTAGGTAGCAAGCTTATTGGTCCCAGGGACACAGGTGATATTAAGTGGCAAGCTTAGTGGTCCCATGGACACAGGTGAGATTAGGTAGCAAGCTTATTGGTCCCAGGGACACAGGTGAGATTAGGTAGCAAGCTTATTGGTCCCAGGGACACAGGTGAGATTAGGTAGCAAGCTTATTGGTCCCAGGGACACAGGTGAGATTAGGTGGCAAGCTTTGTGGTCCCAGGGACACATGTGAGATTAGGTAGCAAGCTTAGTGGTCCCAGGGACACAGGTGAGATTAGGTAGCAAGCTTATTGGTCCCAGGGACACAGGTGAGATTAGGTAGCAAGCTTATTGGTCCCAGGGACACAGGTGAGATTAGGTAGCAAGCTTATTGGTCCCAGGGACACAGGTGAGATTAAGTGGCAAGCTTAGTGGTCCCAGGGACACAGGTGAGATTAGGTAGCAAGCTTATTGGTCCCAGGGACACAGGTGAGATTAGGTGGCTAGCTTAGTGGTGAATGGAAGTTGACATAAATCATTTAGTGGGCATGATGAGACTAACCGTCACCCATTATTTAGACATCTAAACACTCTCATGATTGGGATCTGACATCAACAATCTCAAAATTGGGAGCTTACATCTTAACAATCTCAGAAGTGGGAACTGACATCTTAACAATCTCACGATTGGGAGCTAATATCTATTCTTCTTTTTTGAGGGCAAAAGATGAATGAATTGATCATTCTGGCTACTATAATAATAGTAGAGATCTGACATCTCAACAATCTCACATTTTGGAGTTGACATCTTAACAATTTCACAATTGGGAGTTGACATCTTAACAATCTCACAATTGGGAGTTGACATCTTAACAATTTCATCATTGTGATCTGACATCTTAACAATCTCACAATTGGGAGCTGACTTCTTAACAATCTCATGATTTGGGAGCTGACTTCTTAACAATCTCATGATTGTGATCTGACATCTTAACATTTTCACAATTGGGAGCTGACTTCTTAACAATCTCATGATTTGGGAGTTGACTTCTTAACAATCTCATGATTGGGATCTGACATGTTAACAATCTCATAATTGGGAGCAGATCACATGATGACTAACACATTCAAAAACATCAACCTAAACATTGAACATATCTCTCCAAGGAGATGTGCAGACATTAGATATGTCATGAAGACAATTAGTCCTCAAAAGTGCAATGAAGACAGTAAGGTCTCAACAGTACAATGAAGATAGTAAGGACTCAACAGTACAATGAAGATAGTAAGGTCTGAATAGTGCAATGAAGACAGTAAGGTCCCAACAGTACAATGGAGACAGTAAGATCCTAATAGTACAATGAAGACAGTAGTGTCTCATTAGTGCAATGACGACAGTTAGGTTTCAACAGTACAATGCAGACAGTAAGATCCATTAGTGCAATGAAGACAGTAAGGTCTGAATAGTACAATGAAGACAGTAAGATCCCAACAGTACAATGAAGAAAGCAGGTCTCAACAGTACAATAAAGACAGTAAGGTCTGAATAGTACAAGGAAGACAACAGTAAGGTTTCAATAGTACAATGAAGTCAGTTAAAGTCCCAACAGTGCAATGAAGACAGTAAGGACTGAATAGTACAATGAAGACGACAGTAAGGTTTCAATAGGACAATGAAGACAGTAAGGTCCCAACAGTGCAATGAAGACAGTAAGGTCTCAATAGTACAATGAAGACAGTAAGGTCTCATTAGTAAAATGAAGACAGTAAGGTTCCAATAGTACAATGAAGACAGTAAGGTCACAACAATACAATGAAGACAGTAAGGTCACTACAATACAATGAAGACAGTAAGGTCTCAATAGTGCAATGAAGACAGTAAGGTCTCAATAGTACAATGAAGACAGTAAGGTCTCAATAGTACAATGAAGACAGTAAGGTCCTAATAGAACAATGAAGACATCAAGTCCCCATTAGTTCAATGAAGATAGAAAGTACCCAACAGTACAATGAAGACAGTAAGCCAATAATAGTTCGCATTTATGGTAAAAAAATAAACACCATTATAAGAAATTATTCTGTGGCCAGGGGTGGGGATCCAATATGCATAGACAAAAAATAATCTTGAAGAAAATTTATAGTAAATCTATTATATATAAATATTAATACATTTATAAACCTACATTTCAATATTTCTAAAATGTTTTTTCAAGGAATAAGATTGTGAGTGTGTGTGTGTATGCGCACGCATGCTTGCTGGTGTGTGTGTGTGGCAACATTTTCAAAACCTCATCAGACAAGAAGAGAATCCATATCACATCCCCTACCCAGACTAAAGCATCCTCTCTCACCCACCCCACTTTTTTCAACCATAAACAAAAACATGTCAGGACAACTCCTTAAGAACCTTAGAAGCTTCTATGACCTCTAGTGTAAGGTCAAGGTCAAATGTTTCAAAATAGATAATTATTTAAAGTCCAAACAACATCCAAGAAGCACCTCAGACTGGATAGTCCTGTACAGATGACACCACAGACTGGATACTCCTGTACAGATGACACCACAGACTGGATACTCCTGTACAGATGCGCCACTGAGCTCTCCTAAGGTAAAAGTAACATTTTGCCTTTCGTCACAGTGAAGTAGACCAGTTTGTGAGAAGTTTAATTTTGTGCCATTTTGTGGACTTGAGGATGTCTGTTGCTGCCTCCCAGGCAGCCGGCATGACTTAAATAAATAGTGGAACAAGATATGTTCAGCCTTGAAAAAAAGACACGACAATTAAACTGACATTTCGCCAAACGCCTTCCTCAGCAGAAAATACAAGAATTAACTTTTGTTTTTGACGATCTCAGTGATGTCAATGTAGCTCAATGTTCAGCACAGGAAGAGTTTTTTGTCATACACTATGACTTCTCTTACAACAGCAGACACTGGCAATGGCAGCACCACATACAAGCCAAGTGGCTACACCGGTGTACCAGGGCTGGCTCCAGGGGCGTTCATCTTATCAATGATTATCTTATTTGGCAACACAACAACTTTAGTGACCATTGCTCGGGTCAGGTCTCTACAGACTAAATCAAATGCCTTTTTGGCATCTCTGGCTGCAGCAGACATCATGGTGGGCCTCGTCCTGATCCCTTACGGTCTATGGCTTGTTCCGGACATACGTGACCAATTTGACCAGGCAGTGGCCATGTGCATACTTATAATATCTGCGGGATCTTCAGCTATCGTGGTGAGTATACTGAACATGTTGATGGTGGCCTTGGACAGACTCATCTATATCAGCCATCCTTTCTTGTACCAGCGTGTCGTAACTAACCAAGTCACAGGAGTGGCCGTCATCCTCCCGTGGGCCATCGGCCTCTCGTTTGGTAACTGCCAATGGTTCATATACACCCCAAAGACATCTCCACCACAATGTGTGGCCAATAAGATGCTACCAAAATCTTATTACAAATACGCCGCAACACTATGTTATTTTATTCCTTGCCTGGCCATTTTTATTATATACATCAAAATTGCATGGATAGCCAGACGACAAGGGCTCGCCATTAAAAAAATGAACGCCGTGCGGCCTTTTCATGACAATTTTGACCGTTCTAACCAAAGCAAACTTCCAAAATTGAGTGAGAAAAATTGGAGAGCTGCCAAAATGATGATGACGGTGTTTGGTGTTTTCTTCATCAGCTGGACTCCACGGTTTGTCATTCACGCAGTGCCTGATGACGTCCTCAACACCTATGTCCCTGAGTTGGTCTACAACCTCGCCATGATGCTGGGACTCCTCAATTCAGGGGTCAACTTCCTCATCTATCCACTGCACAACAAGCAGTTTCAACGAGTTTTTAAACAAATCTTTTGTTTCTGGTCGAAATCACAGCAATGGAGGAAACAGTACCCAGACTTTACCCTTACTTCTGTCACAGACAAGCAATAACAACTGTCACTTCTGTCACAGAAAAGCAATAACAACTGTCATGTCTGTCACAGACAAGCAATAACAACTGTCACAGGCAAGCAATAACAACTGTCACTTCTGTCACAGACAAGCGATAAAAAATGTCACTTCTGTCACAGACAAGCAATAACAATTGTCACTTCTGTCACAGACAAGCAATAACAACTGTCACTTCTGTCACAGACAAGCAATAACTATTGTCACTTCTTTCACAGACAACCAATAACAACTGTTACTTCTGTCACAGACAACTGTCACTTCTGTCATAAACAAGAGATAACAACTGCCATTTGTGTCATTGACAATATGAACACCATACAATTTGTATACCATATGCAAATGATAAGTTAGTCTTAGATCCTTTGTATCAAATATAACCTATGATAAGTTAGTATTAGATCCTTTATATCAGATATAGCATACGATAAGTTAGTCTTACATTCCTTGTATCACACAAAACATTTAAGGTAGTCTTACATGCCATAAGTTCGATCCGAACGACGATGTTCCGGCAGAAGATGTGGTTAAGCGTTGCTATGATGGTGGTGATGATGGTACAGCTGCTGCTCAGGTTTAAACTTGTACACAATGACTTGAGGTAGGCACCACACGTCTCTGAGATTTGTTCCATGTTGTTCTCTGAAACGGACAAAAAGGCTTCATCAGAGTTTCTCAAACCTTTGTGCTGCGTCACAATATTTGACCTTTGTGCTGCGTCACAACGATTTGACCTTTCTGCTGCATCACAAAATTTGACCTTTGTGCTGCGTCATAACATTTGACCTTTTTCATGGAAATGCTTCTTTATTGTAACCATTTTTTGAATGAAATGTCCTTCAAAGCAAAACCCCATGGCATCGGGTCCATTCAAACCAATAAACACTGCGGCCATTAAAGAGATAAGACGCTTCAAGTTATAAATAGTATGTACACTTGTAAGTAACTCACCTAAAACCAAAATAACTCACTTAACACCAACATTCAACAATAACTCACTTAACACAAACATTCAACAATAACTCACTTAACACCAACATTCAACAATAACTCACTTAACACCAACATTCAACAATAACTCACTAAACACAACATCCAACAATAACTCACTTAACACAACATTCAACAATAACTCACTTAACACAACATTCAACAATAACTCACTTAACACAACATTCAACAATAACTCACTTAACACAACATCCAACAATAACTCACTTAACACAACATTCAACAATAACTCACTTAACACAACATCCAACAATAACTCACTTAACACAACATTCAACAATAACTCACTTGACACCAACATTCAACAATAACTCACTTAACACCAACATTCAACAATAACTCACTTAACACAAACATTCAACAATAACTCACTTAACACCAACATTCAAAAATAACTCACTTAATACCAACATTAAAAAATAAATCACTTAACACAACATTCAACAATAACTCACTTAACACAACATCCAACAATAACTCACTTAACACAACATTCAACAATAACTCACTTAACACCAACATTCAACAATAACTCACTTAACACAACATTCAACAATAACTCACTTAACACAACATCCAACAATAACTCACTTAACACAACATTCAACAATAACTCACTTAACACCAACATTCAACAATAACTCACTTAACACCAACATTCAACAATAACTCACTTAACACCAACATTCAAAAATAACTCACTTAACACCAACATTCAAAAATAACTCACTTAACACCAACATTCAACAATAACTCACTTAACACCAACATTCAACAATAACTCACTTAACACCAACATTCAAAAATAACTCACTTAACACCAACATTCAAAAATAACTCACTTAACACCAACATTCAACAATAACTCACTTAACACCAACATTCAACAATAACTCACTTAACACCAACATTCAAAAATAACTCACTTAACACCAACATTCAAAAATAACTCACTTAACACCAACATTCAACAATAACTCACTTAACACCAACATTCAACAATAACTCACTTAACACCAACATTCAAAAATAACTCACTTAACACCAACATTCAAAAATAACTCACTTAACACCAACATTCAACAATAACTCACTTAACACAACATTCAACAATAACTCACTTAACACCAACATCCAGCAATAACTCACTTAACACCAACATTCAACAATAACTCACTTGACACCAACATTCAACAATAACTCACTTGACACCAACATCCAGCAATAACTCTTTCACTCAAATAAAACCAACATCCAACAATAATTGACTTAACACCAACAATAACTCACCTAGCAACAAGAATAATTCACGTAGCACCAAACATCCAACAATAACTCACCTAGCAACAAACATTCAAAAATAACTCACTTAACACCAGCAATAACTCGCATAACACCAAAAATCCAACAATAACTCTTCTAACACCAACATCTAACAATAATTCACTTAACATCAAACATCCAACAATAACTCACCTAACACCAACATCCCAGCCTGATAGGTTGTAAAACAATGGAACACTTCCATGAGATAGTTCTGGCCAGGTAACTCATGTTCATAGCTGTACAGATGTTGAAACTAACTGGGTTAATATAAGTCATGGAGGTCAAGTACAATGCGATAACTCGCTTAAGTGATGGAGGTCAGGTACATTTCCATCAAATAATTTAATTCTAAATGAATTTATTAGTTCAAAAGATATTATTTGTTTGATGAATAGACATTTTTTTGTTGAATAGACATTTAAAGACATAATTTGTTAAGTATATCAAAGACATTCTTTTTTTATTTTTTTGTATTGAGTAAAACTGAATTTTTAAATGATTGGCATTGGGGAGGTATTGGGGACTTGGGGTGAGGGGGTGTATGAGGATGTATAATAGAAACTAAAAAGATTGTAAATAGTCATCTTTACTTTGAGTAAAACAAGGAGGAAAGTATAAAGCCGGTGTTAAATTAACTTTTCTGTTATTTTTTTAACGATTACAGGAAATTTGTTGAAAGAAATTTTGTCGGCGGAAAATTGATCACTTTTATGTTATGTTAATGGGTCATTTTTATGTTATTTTTAAAGGGTCATTTTTACATGATGCTTAATGTTCATTTTAACGTTATGTCGAATTTCATTTCCATGGATATACTTTCTTTCTACTTCTTGCTGAAATGTCTATTTGTGTAATGTGTCAGTTTAATAAAGCATAAATATGTTTAGGTACGAAAGTTGGATGCATCTTTTATCTACTTAATTTTTATCACAGTCACAGTCCAGCCCTCTTCCAGTAAGTCAAGCCAGCAATCCAACATTTAGTTCATATATACCATAAGCCAGCCCTATTACATTTAGTCTATGTATATACCATAAGCCAGCCCTATTACATTTAGTCTATATATATACCATAAGCCAGCCCTATTACATTTAGTCTATATATATACCATAAGCCAGCCCTCTTACATTTAGTCTATATATATACCATAAGCCAGCCCTATTACATTTAGTCTATATATATACCATAAGCCAGCCCTATTACATTTAGTCTATATATATATACCATAAGCCAGCCCTATTACATTTAGTCTATATATATATGCCATAAGCCAGCCCTATTACATTTAGTCTATATATATATACCATAAGCCAGCCCTATTACATTTAGTCTATATATATATACCATAAGCCAGCTCTGTTACATTTATTCTATATATATATATAACATAAGCCATCCCTATTATATTTAGTTTATATATATTATATACCATAAGCCAGCCCTATTACATTTATTCTATATATATATGCCATAAGCCAGCCCTATTACATTTAGTCTATATATATATACCATAAGCCAGCCCTATTACATTTAGTCTATATATATATACCATAAGCCAGCCCTGTTACATTTAGTCTATATATATATATACCATAAGCCAGCCCTATTACATTTAGTTCATATATACCATAAGCCAGCCCTATTACATTTAGTCTATATATATATACCATAAGGTTGATCATTTGGCTTATTTGAGGCATTTGACAAATCACTATAATAAAATGTTGGTGTTTTGTACTGTAATGGTCAACACTGTTTTGTTTAACGAAAATGCACTCTGTAAGAGTTTCTCTGTTTTAACTGCTGTTACAAAAAAATTTAAGATTTATAGAATTTTACCCGAGTTCCTTTGAGGCTTCCACAGCAGCAACAACAAAATCTGGATCTTCGGCAAAGAAGGCACAAAAGTGAGTTTCATCCTCGTCAGAGTACATGAGGTTAAAGGTCAGCTCTGCTGCTTGTTTCAGGAGATCAGCTGAGGTGGTTTGAGCAATGGGATTACCCAATAATAAAGTTAATGATACAGGTCATACATAGTATTGGGATTACGCAATAATTAACTTAATAATATAGGTCAAACGGAGAAATGGGATTAGTCTACTCAAAAACACAATTTATAATATAAATCTATTGGTACAATTTTGTGATTTAATATTTGTTTCCTGTATTTAAATGAATTATAATAATAGACTAAATATTAATAAAAACATTTTATAAATAATTAGAATCCACATTTATTTTCCTTTTCAAATTTTGCTTAAACTACACAAAGTAAAGGGAAGCAAGTATTTAAAAACAAACAAGATTTGTTTACAAATCCATTATCCCCCTTTGACTTAGCCATTCTATAAATGAGACTTTCAGTTCATAATTATTATTGTGACCCAAAAATAATTTTTTTTTTTCTATAATCTCTTATTTTGATAAAACTGGTCAATTCAAATAACAACAGGTGCCCCCCCCCCCCAAACCACTACGGTCTGGTAGAAACGAAACATGAAGGTATACATATTTTTTTTTACTAGATGATATTACCTGGCAATGCTCGGGTTTGCTTTCTAAAATACTATCAGCACACTAATCAAAAAATTATTTAATTTCCTATAAAAAAATCCGGTTTTTAAAAACTCGTGTAATTATTGGAAATTTTGGCCCTGCCTGTTTCAGTTAATTTTCAAGCAGGGCCAATTAAACAAAAGGACACAGTTAAAAGACCAATCTTGCTTTTAAAAAATGTCTTTTTAAAAACCATAATCCCCAATGCCAAGGCTATGGACGTTTATCTATTAAACTAAAATAGTATCCCCTGCAGGAAGGCGTTCCAATTTGGTTATAGCTGACATCAGGGTTATTAAAACATTCAAGTTTAATTCTTAAATTTAGCCAATTAAAATTGGATGACATTTGCCAAAGATGTTGACTAATACATTTTTACTAATGGAGGCCCAGGCGCCAAAAGGACAATCATTAAAATTTTACAGGAGTGAGTAATTAAGGTTTGAAAATGAACAAAATTTATTTTAAAACTTAAAATAGGTTGCAAAACAACAAGGATACTGCTTATTATTTAAGATAATATAATTTGGGCCCACGTCTGAAACGATAAGCTATTATTAGTCTAAAATCCACTTATATTATCAAAGGTGTTATGAAAGTTCTGTTTGCCAACTTTGGCCTTGATGCAACAATTGAAGTAGAAGCTTGCATTGCAACCTCAGCCTTCATGGAGAGCTTTGGCTATTTAAAGGGATTCAATTTTTTAATTTTTATGACCTTTTTTTTTTTTTAGCTTTAATTCTAATTTCATTTTACATTAGAGGAACATCATAGAGAATTGTAGATACAGTAAAAGTATATTTATATAATCTTAAAATGCTTATTTAAAAAATTGAACATGGAAGGTAGACCTTCAAGAAGTTTCAACGCTATTTTAATATGGACTATAAAGAGCATGTCAACCTAGTTTGGCTTACATATATCAATTCACGTAGAGCCTGACACTGTTAACTCAGACTCCTGTTATTTATAAAGCTTAAATAAGTAAAATTGTTCTAAGGACTACCCCTCCTCCCCTAAAGTGATATTATGAGTTAACAACACTCCAGTTTTTCTCTTTAGATTTTCAAGTGTGCGCGTACCAAGTTTTGTCTAGTTCTAGCCAATAGTTTCTTACAATGGTACAACTCTTATTTCTGTCTATTGAAAGATATTATTGCATTGAACAGCTAATCTTTGTTGAAAAATTGAATTCAAATAGTTTTGCAAGCGCAATGTTCTTCAGAACATAGAATCAATCTTAATTGAAAATGTGTGCACCAAGCAAAACTACCTGTGGTGTACCTTGACTAAACTGTGTACCTTGACTAAATCTGTGTACCTTGACTAAATCTGTGTACCTTGACTAAATCTGTGTACCTTGGCTAAATCTGTGTACCTTGACTAAATCTGTGTACCTTGGCTAAATCTGTTTACCTTGACTAAATCTGTGTACCTTGACTAAATCTGTGTGCCTTGGCTAAATCTGTGTACCTTGACTAAATCTGTGTACCTTGACTAAATCTGTGTATCTTGACTAAATCTTTGACTAAATCTGTGTACCTTGACTAAATCTTTGACTAAATCTGTGTATCTTGACTAAATCTTTGACTAAATCTGTGTACCTTGACTAAATCTGTGTACCTTGACTAAATCTGTGTACCTTGACTAAATCTTACCCAGGGTTAACTCCCCAGATTCCGCCCATCACACCCGTCCTTAATAGTGTGTTGTCTTTTATAAAACTTATCTTTCAAAGCGCACTAAAACTTTCTAATTTGACAGTGCCCCCCTACCCAAGCCCCCCAATTCTGACTAAAGACTTATTAAGAATGCGAATACCAAAATAACTTATCATAATGACCTAGATTTTTTTTTTATAAAATGGCATTTTCAAGGCATTTGAGAATATATTTTTTCCCTCTTTACTCTAAACATTTTTGGTGCCAAATGTGTATTGAACGGTCAACTCCAGAAGAAAATGTTGGGGATCCACAAATGGCTACCTAACAGACTTAGTAATGTTGTTTACAGTTTACAGGACAGATCAAGACCAGGTACAGGAAGAATGGGGTTAACAGCTGATAAAACAGCTGGCCATTGTTGACTACATCCATCCCTTGATTAACTAGAAATTATTCACATTTTTGGACTCATGTTTTCAAAAGTATTTTCCAATGAATGTTGTCAGCTTGAAACTTGTGGAGAGATTTTAGGAAAACTCGACTATGGTTTATTATAATTTAATCAGAAACTTAATCTCAAAGTAAGAGTGCATTAAAATAAAATGTATTTTCCTAAATACTAAGAGATCACAATTGATCTAATGACACCAAGCTAAAAATACACATCTGAAAAAAAAACATGTTTTGATCCGGGCATGGCCTATATGATCCCAATGCACACAATTCATTCAGTTTAGTAAGGATAAGTCATCTCACATAGCAACAAATACAGACAAAATGAATTCAATTAACTGGAACCTATTAATTGGTTAGAGTTTGCAACTTTGGCTTAAAACAAATGGATAGAAAATAGTTCTACATGAGAGTGTGGTTACTGTAAAACATGTCAGTAGTAGCAGTTACTGTAAATCATGTCAGTGGTAGCAGTTACTGTAAAACATGTCAGTGGTAACAGTTACTGTAAAACATGCCAGTGGTAGCAGTTACTATAAAATGTCAGTAGTAGCAGTTACTGTAAAACATCTAAGTAGTAGCAGTTACTGTAAAACATGTCAGTAGTAGCAGTTACTGTAAAACATGTCAGTAGTAGCAGTTACTGTAAAACATTTAAGTATTAGCAGTTACTGTAAAACATGTCAGTAGTGGCAGTTACTGTAAAACATTTAAGTATTAGCAGTTACTGTAAAACATGTCAGTAGTGGCAGTTACTGTAAAACATTTAAGTATTAGCAGTTACTGTAAAACATTTAAGTATTAGCAGTTACTGTAAAACATGTCAGTAGTGGCAGTTACTGTAAAACATGTCAGTAGTAGCTTTTTTTAAAGGAAGAGGAAACAAAAAGTCAACAATGTCCTCCTACAACAGTCATAAGATTAGAGGGTCAAGGCCAGGGCTTGTGTCCTGGAGTGTGGAGACAGAACTGAGAGTACTGACCCTTAACTTGACCCATTTTAACAAACAACTGTTTGTTGTTACTTATCAAGGCCTGTTTGATGCATTCAATTAAAAACAACTTCTGTCAAATCTCAAAAGGGTTTCCACTCGTACGATGTTTGTTTCATAAAGACCTTGCTGCAAGAATACTGACATGACCTTGTATCTCACCACATCACCTTTAAGAATACTGACATGACCTTGTATCTCACCACATCACCTTTAAGAATACTGACATGACCTTGTATCTCACCACATCACCTTTAAGAATACTAACATGACATTGTATCTCACCAGATCACCTTTAAGAATACTGACATGACCTTGTATCTCACAACATCACCTTTAAGAATACTGACATGACATTATATCTCACCACATCACCTTTAAGAATACTAACATGACATTGTATCTCACCAGATCACCTTTAAGAATACTGACATGACCTTGTATCTCATAACATCACCTTTAAGAATACTGACATGACCTTGTATCTCACAACATCACCTTTAAGAATACTGACATGACCTTGTATCTCACAACATCACCTTTAAGAATACTAACATGACATTGTATCTCACCAGATCACCTTTAAGAATACTAACATGACATTGTATCTCACCAGATCACCTTTAAGAATACTAACATGACATTGTATTTCACCAGATCACCTTTAAGAATACTAACATGACATTGCATCTCACCAGATCACTATTTCTTCATGAGCAGCTGATGCAAACTCAAGATTAGGTGAAGATATCGATGTATTTAACTGTTACCTTAACAAACTCAAGATTAGGTGAAGATATCGATGTATTTAACTGTTACCTTAACAAACTCAAGATTAGGTGAAGATATCGATGTATCTCAAGATTAGGTGAAGATATCGATGTATTTAACTGTTACCTTAACAAACTCAAGATTAGGTGAAGATATCGATGTATTTAACTGTTACCTTAACAAACTCAAGATTAGGTGAAGATATCGATGTATTTAACTGTTACCTTAACAAACTCAAGATTAGGTGAAGATATCGATGTATTTAACTGTTACCATAACAAACTCAAGATTAGGTGAAGATATCGATGTATTTAACTGTTACCTTAACAAACTCAAGATTAGGTGAAGATATCGATGTATTTAACTGTTATCTTAACAAACTCAGAGTGCCAAATTATCAATGTATTTAACTGTTACCTTAACAAACTAAGAGTGCCAAGATATTAAGTAGCCATTTGGGCAAGTGCCCTTCGGCCTGATGGGATGTATCCTCATCCTTATTAAGTAGCCATTTGGGCAAGGGACTTCGATCTGATGGGATGGATTTATTATGTACTCTAATTGAAGCCACCTCAGGAAATAATATATTCCTATTACAAAGGAATTTATGTCTTAATCCCTAGATTTAAAAATTAATCCCATTTTGCATTTTAGAATTAATAAATAGATGAGTTGGGGCACAAAACTCTTTCTAAAGTCAGGTGAGATGAGTAAGGGGCACAACTCTTTCTAAAGTAAGGTGAGATAAGTTAGGGTCAACAATTATTTCTAAAGTAAGGTCAAAAGTCAAGTGAGGTGAGTTAATGCCAAAAACTCTTTCTAAAGTCAGGTGAGATGAGTTAGTGCCAACAACTCTTTCTAAAGTCAGGTGAGATGAGTTAGTGCCAACAACTCTTTCTAAAGTCAGGTGAGATGAGTTAATGCCAAAAACTCTTTCTAAAGTCAGGTGAGGTGAGTTAGCGCCAACAACTCTTTCTAAAGTCAGGTGAGGTGAGTTAGGGCCAACAACTCTTTCTAAAGTCAGCTGAGGTGAGTTAGGGCCAACAACTCTTTCTAAAGTACGGTGAGATGACTTAGGATCAACAACTCTTTCTAAAGTCAGGTGAGGTGAGTTAGCGCCAACAACTCTTTCTAAAGTCAGGTGAGGTGAGTTAGTGCCAACAACTCTTTCTAAAGTCAGGTGAGGTGAGTTAGTGCCAACAACTCTTTCTAAAGTCAGATGAGATGAGTAAGGGACAACAACTCTTTCTAAAGTCAGGTGAGGTGAGTTAGTGCCAACAACCCTTTCTAAAGTCAGGTGAGGTGAGTTAGTGCCAACAACTCTTTCTAAAGTCAGGTGAGGTGAGTTAGGGCCAAATACTCTTTCTAAAGTCAGGTGAGGTGAGTTAGGGCCAAATACTCTTTCTAAAAGTAGGTGACACCTTTGAACAGCATTTAATCTTATCACATGTTTTGCTAAAATCCGCTTAGTTCACTGTCACTAACTAGATAAGATTTCCTTTAACGTTTTACAGCAGCTATCACAAGGGGCCTAGGCTTAGTCATTCATTGCATTCCTAACAATAAAGGGTAGTTAATAGAAGGTCCTTGCCACTGCCTGGATCCCCTCTGTAGTCAATAGAAGGTCCTTGCCACTGCCTGGATCCCCTCTGTAGTGAATAGAAGGTCCTTGCCACTGCCTGGATCCCCTCTGTAGCCTATAGGGTGCCCTTAACACTGTCTGGATCAAACTCTATAGAGGGTAGTCAATAGAGTGTCCTTAACACTGACTGGATCAAACTATAGAGGGTAGTCAATAGAATGTCCTTAACACTGTCTGGATCAAACTATAAAGGGTAGTCAATAGAGTGTCCTTAACACTATCTAGATCAAACTATAGAGGGTAGTCAATAGAATGTCCTTAACACTATCTGGATCAAACTATAGAGGGTAGTCAATAGAATGTCCTTAACACTGTCTGGATCAAACTATAGAGGGTAGTCAATAGAATGTTCTTAACACTGTCTGGATCAAACTATAGAGGGTAGTCAATAGAGTGTCCTTAACACTGTCTGGATGAAACTATAGAGGGTAGTCAATAGAGTGTCCTCAACACTGTCTGGATCAAACTATAGAGGGTAGTCAATAGAGTGTCCTTAACACTGACTGGATCAAACTATAGAGGGTAGTCAATAGAATGTCCTTAACACTGTCTGGATCAAACTATAAAGGGTAGTCAATAGAGTGTCCTTAACACTATCTAGATCAAACTATAGAGGGTAGTCAATAGAATGTCCTTAACACTATCTGGATCAAACTATAGAGGGTAGTCAATAGAATGTCCTTAACACTGTCTGGATCAAACTATAGAGGGTAGTCAATAGAATGTTCTTAACACTGTCTGGATCAAACTATAGAGGGTAGTCAATAGAGTGTCCTTAACACTGTCTGGATCCCTTCTGTATTAACAGCACACTAAGACTGAGCCAGGGGGGTGCTGATGCCACTTTGGGGAGAAAAAGGCAGTCAGATAATATGTAAAAGACTTGTCGGTTGACTGTGACAGTCAGGTAGATATGTACAAGATATGTGGGTTGACAGAGACAGTCAGGTAGATATGTACAAGACTTGTGGGTTGACAGAGACAGTCAGGTAGATATGTACAAGACGTGTGGTTGACTGGGACAGTCAGGTAGATATGTACAAGACTTGTGGGTTGACTGGGAAGTCAGGTAGATATGTACAAGATATGTGGGTTGACTGGGACAGTCAGGTAGATATGTACAAGATATGTGGTTTGACGGAGAAAGTCAGGTAGATATGTACAAGACTTGTTGGTTGACAGAGACAGTCAGTTAGATATGTACAAGACGTGTGGGTTGACTGGGACAGTCAGGTAGATATGTACAAGACTTGTGGGTTGACTGGGAAGTCAGGTAGATATGCACAAGATATGTGGGTTGACTGGGACAGGTAGATATGTACAAGAATTGTGGGTTGACAGAGACAGTCAGATAGATATGTAGAAGACTTGTGGGTTGACAGAGACAGCCAGGTAGATATGTACAAGATGTGTGGGTTGACTGGGACAGTAAGGTAGATATGTACAAGACTTCTGGGTCGACTGGGACAGTCAGGTAGATATGTACAAGATATGTGGGTTGACTGGGACACTCAGGTAGATATGTACAAGATTATTGGGTTGACAGAGACAGTCAGGTAGATATGTACAAGATGTGTGGGTTGACTGGGACAGTCAGGTACAGTCAGGTAGATATGTACAATATATCTGGGTTGACAGAGACAGTCAGGTAGATATGTACAAGACTTGTGGGTTGACAGAGACAGTCAGGTAGATATGTACAAGACTTGTGGGTTGACAGAGACAGTCAGGTAGATGTGTACAAGACTGTACAAGAATTGTTGGTTGATTGAGACAGGTATATATGTACAAGAATTGTGGGTTGACTGGGACAGTCAGGTAGATATGTACAAGAATTGTGGGTTGACTGAGACAGGTAGATCGGTACAAGAATTGTGGGTTGACTGAAACAGGTAGATATGTACAATATATCTGGGTTGACAGAGACAGTCAGGCAGATATGTACAATACTTGTGGGTTGACAGAGACATTCAGATAGATATGTACAAGATATGTGGGTTGACTGAGACAGTCAGTTAGATATGTGCAAGATATGTGGGTTGACTGACACAGTCAGGTTGATATGTACAAGAATTGTGGGTTAACTGAGACAGGTAGATATGTACAAGAATTGTGGGTTGACAGAGACAGATAGTTAGATATGTACAAGATATGTGGGTTGACAGCGACAGTCAGGTAGATATGTACAAGACATGTGGGTTGACAGAGACAGTCAGGTAGATATGTACAAGATATGTGGGTTGACAGAGACAGTCAGGTAGATATGTACAAGACATGTGGGTTGACAGAGACAGTCAGGTAGATATGTACAAGATGTGTGTGTTGACAGAGACAGTCAGGTAGATATGTACAAGACATGTGGGGCTCCTAGGCAGCCCATTTCTTAAGTCCACACTGGACTACTGGGTTTGTAATGAATGTTATTGACTTGAATGCATGGTGTGATTGCGTGTTGGTTTGAGATTATGTGTGTTGTTTTATCTGTTATTTTTAGTATCTTGTGACGTATTGTGTGAAAAGGGATATGACGTATTAGTATTGTAGATGGTTGTGCAGTGTTGTTCTTTGAGTACGGTAATGGCAGTTGAGGACTTAGTTTGATTAATAAAGATATTTTCATACAAGAATTTATAGTTGTGAAGTGTATATAATAAACCCCTAGACAACGAAGCCAACAAACCTATTAAGCAAGAAGAGGTTTGTAACATTTGGGGGCTCGTCCGGGATTGGGCGCCCATTGTGACTGCATACTGATGTATATGTGTGCTGCTGGTCCTGTGTCCCGCTGGGTTTGAATCCTGCTAAACCTGCATCCTGCGACTACCACATGCTGCTCTACTGTATCCTGGTTTGACGTTAGGCGGCTGCCTGGTCTGTATCCTGCCTGGCCTGTATCCCACTGGGCCTGTATCCAGCGACCATCGTATGTTGCTGTGCTGTGTGGTTGCCGTATCCTGCTGGTTACCCTATCCTGCTGGCTGCCATGCCCTGTTGGTCGCCTTAACCTGCTTGTTGCCGTATCCTGTGCGGTTGCCGTATCCTGTGCGGTTGCCGTATCCAGTGTGGTTGTCGTATCCTGCGTGGTTGCCGTATCCTGCTGGCCGCCCTACCCTGCTGGCCGCCCTACCCTGCTGGCCGCCCTACCCTGCTGGCCGCCCTACCCTGCTGGCCGCCCTACCCTGCTGGCCGCCCTACCCTGCTGGCCGCCCTACCCTGTTGGTCGCCTTACCCTGCTGTTGCCAACCCTGCTGGTTGCCGTATCCTGTGTTGCCATATCCTGTGTTGCCGTATCCTGTGTTGCCGTATCCTGTGGTTGCCGTATCCTGTGGTGTTGCCGTATCCTGTGGTGTTGCCGTATCCTGTGGCTGCCGTATCCTGTGTGGTTGCCTTATTCTGCTAGCTACCATACCCTGTTGGTCGCCTTACCCTGCTTGTTGCCGTATCCTGCTTGTTGCCGACACTGCTGTAACACTGACACTAGTGCTGTACCCGTGTTGAATGTACCCTACTGCCGTTGTACGCCTACGCAAGTCAGCTACGATGGGTACCCAAGACCAAGACCGGGTAATTAGTATAGTTTACATTTGTTGTCGTATAAGATTGATGTTTTTTTTTTTAACATTGCTACTACTATTGAGGGCTTTAAGATTATTTTAAAATGGAAACAAGGAGTGCGAAGAAAAGTAGAGTGTTAGAGCTCAGGGAGGAGGCAGAGGCGATAGGCTATAAAGATGAAGCCATCACACACTGGACTACTGGGTTTGAGATCTAAGAGAAATAGCAAAAGCTTTTCAGAAGCAGACAGACATTATTCAGTTACTTGTATAGGAGTAGACAGAAATAATTCAGTCCCTTGTATCTCATCCCAAAAATCAATGAACCACTTCATCTTTTGACATAAGCAGAGAACATTCTGGAGATAAAATACTGATAACCTTGCTGGGTGCGATTAAAACCAAAATTATTCCTTGTTAAACTTGAAATGGTCTAAGATTTCATGGGATTGGTTCACATATCCTCCTGTAATGTTACAAGTGTAACATGTGATTTTTGCATGCAGCAGCAAGTTTGAAAAACTTTTTAAAAACTTAAATATTGTAATGTGGTGCTGTGCAACATTTTGACCAAGTGGGTCAAGAAAATGTTTTCCACCAAGCCAAGGGCAGCAAATCAAATCTCAACAAAAAGAAAGATATTTTTTTTTTTTACCGTTTGAAATAATTCCTATTATTAATACTTCTAAATGTATGCATGGTCATCATCAAATAGCATTATCGGCTCATCAAGAATATAAGTAAAGGGAATAAAAACTGTAGCTATTATAAAGGATATATTTTGCTTTGAATTGTACTTGCAATTTTCTTAATTTGAAGAAGTGTCCTCATTAAATGTTTAAATGTTTACCAGTCAAAGCGTTATGCTTTTTGAAGTTGATGTTCGTCATTACAATCCAGCTTCACTGACATAGGTGCTTCCATCAACATGGTCAAAAATTTGTTCCAACATTTACCTAGTTGTGGAAATTCATCCGAAGAAACATGATATCATCCAGAATCCATTTGGCCAAACATTCTTATGTTTGTTTATAAAAACTTACTTTCAAGAACCATTCCTACTGTCTCTCAACATTCTTCTCTGAATGAATTGCCCTAACTACAAATATGTATCGTGCTTTCTATTCATTGAACGTCTCATGCTCCGATCTCTGAATGTTTAGGTACTTGTCCCCAGCGTTACTCAACAAATCATGATGGAGACACACTCTCCCATACCTGGCTAAACCACATGTTTCAATAATATGGTACCATAAATGGTTCACATCGCCCATCGTAGTCATGTCAGGACCTTTAGTACCCCAGCTCCCATCTCAATTACTCTGACCCCCAAGACTTTCTCGTCATATTATTATTATCCACAAAGCACAGACTGAGCTCAACTATCTATTTCCTCTAACTTACATAGTATCTGATTTTGTGTCCTCCGGGTTCCCAAATGTTTGCTCTGCTGTGGCGCTTGACATAAATTGCTACGACCTGTCAAGCCATACCCCTCCTTAGCTTTTGCGACCTCCCCCTTTTCCATATTACAGCTTCTCCTGTACTCTCACATGATTTCCCAACAATATTAAATCAGTAATTATAGTTTGAAAAAATGTTCACCCTAAAATGTTTTATTGTGTATCGACATGAAAATGTCTCAATCCGTGGCGGGCCATTTAAAATCTGCTATCAAAAATAATAATATCTTAATTTAACAAAAATACTGATATAAAATTTTTTTAATCCAATTAAAATTTAAAATCCAACTTAAATTGTTTAAATTGATTTAAAAACCATGAACTACATTATATTTAATCTTTGTAAACAATCTACTTAAAAATCTAAAGAAATCCTTTATCACGAGAAGAAAAAAATCAATCTTTTTTTTTTAAATCAAGTGATTTTTTTTTTTGGGGGGGGGGGGTGGTGTTTGTTGTGTTAAACAAAGACAATCTTTTCATTAATCTTAACCATGACAATATTAATTGAAAAACAGTTTGTTTTTAAACAAGTGAAAATAAGATAACAAGTAAATCTATTTAAATAAACATTTTAACAAGAAACCTAAAATCTGAACAAACGTTGTGAGACACCCAGATCACATAGATCACTTGCTGAACAAGTTATATGAAGCACCCATATATCACCTCAAGAATGAATACTCACAGGTAAAAATGTTCCTTCTCGTTTAGAAATGAATTGGACTAATAATTTGATCTGTCTAATTGATAAGAGGTGCTATAAAAAGCTCTTTGGATTAAGAATATAAATAATTTTTTTATTTAAAAATTTGATCCAGAAATATAAAAAATATTGAAAATTTGTTCATTTCAAAACCTCACCATCGAGGTTGTGCCTCAGAATTCAACATGAAATAGAACTTAAAGAGTAGGGGAAAATCTGAAAGTCAGGTCACAAATTATGTTTGGACTAAAAAGTCTCCAACAAAACCTGACAGGTCACAAATGATGTTTGGACTAAAAAGTATCCAACACCAGACAAAAAGGAACCTAAAGATAAACTTAGCTGATGCATGTCAAAGTTCACAGGAAATCATATTGAATTGTGGGCAGAAGTGTCCAAAAAAATTCACAGTTTTGGGTTAGAGATTAAAAGGAAACATAATAATTAAATCCCAAACATGATAAGATCATCACTAGCAAACAAACATAATAAGGTAATCACAAGCACAGAATCCTCAAGGATTAAGAGAAGGACGAGGAAAAAATATGCTGCCACTTTAATTAATGGAGGGAAGAAGGGAAAAGAAGAGAACTGTCATTGGTAACAGAGCGTAAGGGGTTGAGAGAGAGAGTTAACAGTTAAAAGAAAACATTACATTGATGCTGTGTGGTGTCAATTCCCATGGGTGTGTATCGATTTTTGGTCGCTTCTATTGAGGAAAGAAGAAAAGGCACATTGCTTTTCTTGCGCAATGTTGCGTAGGTGTTCACCAAACCTATCAGCAAGTCGCTGTCCTGTGTCTCCCACATAGAACTTTAAGCAGTGTTTACAAAAAAAACTGGCTGATACAAGAGAACTCATCTCTTAAATGAAAATAATCTGACCTGCTTCATATTTTGCTAATACTAATGAAACTTTCCCTAAAAAAATTTCAATATTTCCCATCACACAATTCAAGCTTTCCCACATGATCTGCTACATATTTCCCACCACACTAACCCAAATTTCATACATGATCTGCTACATATTTCCCTCACATTAAGCAAACTCATCCAATAGAATTCAACCATTGCCTTTTTGCCCTGTGTGTTAGAGATTATCTAACCAACGCTGACCGAGATGTCCTGACCGAGATGTCCTGACATTGTTACCTTGACCTGCTTGCACTATTGTCCCATATAGAACTTTTTAAAGATAGAGACCAGATAAAGTCAGCATTTTCTGTACACCAATCATGGGGAGGGGTGTGTCATACATTGCCTTGTCTACACATCAGCTATAGGGATGGGAGTGTCAGTCAGTCTTTACACCAGTCATAGAGATGGGTGTGTCATACAGTCTTGTCTATACATCAGTCATAGAGATGGGTGTGTCATACATTGCCTTGTCTATACACCAGCTATAGGGATGGGAGTGTCAGTCTGTCTTTACACCAGTCATTGGAGGGGTGTGTCATACAGTCTTGTCTATACATCAGTCATAGGAGGGGTGTGTCATACATTGCCTTGTCTATAAAACAATTATAATGATTGGAGTGTCAGTCTTGTCTATACACTAGTCATAGAGATGGGTGTGTCATACAGTCTTGTCTATACACCAATCATAGAGATGGGTGTGTCATACAGCCTTGTCTATGCACAAGTCATAGAGATGGGTGCGTACTTTTTATGAACTTGAATTCCAAAATTAATTAAATCTTTTTAATTATATTTTTGTTGCAAGTAAAAAAAAACAATGTTACATTTTAATTTGTTTGCTTGGTTACCGTTTATAATTCAACATTATGCTTTATATAAGTGAAAGAGTTTGGTGCATACGAACAATTTATTGGTGGTGAGAAGTAAGGTGAAGGGATGTAACTAACATGAACATTTCTTGTTCAAAGGAAAGAACTCAGCAAAAACTGGATGGCATAATTTTCAATGAATTCCTGTTGTGATGAGGGGATATACAATGACACTATGTAGGTCCCATAATAAATAATGACGAAAAAAATTAATGTTGAAATATTTTTGGCAACGTATCTTCCCTTTCAAATGAACAGAAAAATGTCAAAAAGACATCAAAATTATATTGCATGAAGCAGAATTGAGAACCACTGGTTACCCATTGATGAGATAATTTGGTGATTTCTCCAGTTTCAAGAATTTGTGAGTTAGGCAGAAAGCAATTGAGAATAGGTTGGTAAGAGCCAACTAGGTTTTAATTCTTGAATAAGATAACAGAAGTGTCATTCCTATAAAAACTGATGAAACTCTGTCCAACCAACAGAATCAAACTTCCAATCACCGACACTGCATTGATATCAGACCAGACTTCCAATGACCGACACTGCATTGATATCAGACCAGACTTCCAATCACCGACACTGCATTGACATCAGACCAGACTTCCAATCACCGACACTGCATTGATATCAGACCAGACTTCCAATCACCGACACTGCATTGATATCAGACCAGACTTCCTATCACCGACACTGCATTCATATCAGACCAGGACTAAAACAGTGACTGGCATTTTTCTAATGTTATTCTGACCAAGTTATTACATGATTTTCAAATGAAGAGAGAGGGGTGGTTGTCTCGCAATAGGTGCTGCAAAATACTGACAGACTGACCTTGCCCCACACGCACACATAATCAAGATGATAAGCCACGATACAGGTATTCAAATATTGGTTAGTGGGTCATGGTATGATCGCTGATATGATAAACTATTTTTTCACCTCAAGAAATAATTCACGTACTCCGTGTAGGATTTATAGGACTTTAAATGGCCTGTACAATGCTAAATGGTATTATTTGGATGACTTTGTTTCCATCCTCAAAATGTATCATAAAAATGTGGTCTTATTGAAATGTTAAGTATCACTATAATGTGAATAATCCCTTAATGTAAAGCACACAAAAATGTGAAGTCTAATTTAAATGTAAAGTATCACAAAAATGTGAAGTCTCATTTAAATGTAAAGTATCACAAAAATGTGAAGTCTCACAAAGGGTATTCAAACTGTGAAGAGTTAACGGCCAGGATGGCACTTTATTACATGTGACCTAAAGGATAAAAAAACACAATAAAACTGACAGAATAAGTATGGCGTAATATCAAGTCAGATAGCACCTCCTATTGGGTTGGATTAACCTTGGCTGAATTCTGTCACTCAAAAACTGAGGTGGGTGGGGCCAATTAATGAAAAACAACTACTGAGGTCCTGACAAGACAATAATATTTTTTTTAAGGTTCACCGCAAAGTAGGTTATTGATTAGAGATTAGAACAATGACACTGACGGCCAGGTGGAACTGCAAACAAAACAAGCTGGTAGCTAAAAGAAACCCAAATCATAACCTTCCCGCCAAAGTAACGGTTTAAAACATACAGCAAAATAACAATTTTAAACAAATACAATCATGGGGAACAAAACATGAGTACAGCTGGTCAAAATGGACACAATGATTTGTATCAGTGTCAAAATAAACACAATGATTTGTATCAGTGTCAAAATAGACACAATGATTTGTAACAGTGTCAAAATGGACACAATGATTTGTATCAGTGTCAAAATAGGCACAATGATTTGTATCAGTGTCAAAATAGACACAATGATTTGACACTGATCAGTGTCAAAATAGGCACAATGATTTGTATCAGTGTCAAAATAGACACAATGATTTGTATCAGTGTCAAAATAGGCACAATGATTTGTATCAGTGTCAAAATAGGCACAATGATTTGTATCAGTGTCAAAATAGGCACAATGTTTTGTATCAGTGTCAGAATAAACCCAATGATTTGTATCAGTGTCAAAATAAACACAATGATTTTTATCAGTGTCAAAATAAACACAATGATTTGTATCAGTGTCAAAATAAACACAATGATTTGTATCAGTGTCAAAATAGACACAATGATTTGTATCAGTGTCAAAATAAACACAATGATTTGTATCAGTGTCAAAATAAACACAATGATTTGTATCAGTGTCAAAATAGACACAATGATTTGTATCAGTGTCAAAATAGACACAATGATTTGTATCAGTGTCAAAATAGAAACAGTGATTTGTATCATTAAATGTATTGTGCCTTTGTCCTACCCAGTACTATGGTTAATTATGTCACTTAGAGCTATGCATACATCCTTATGATGGCAATGTGTGTCAAGAACGTGTCATGCCAACTTTTCATCACTCACCATGGGTTGAGCCTGAGAGTATTCTCACCAATTCACTGGTCACCTGCTGACCACTATCACAGAGCCTGGAATAACAGAACCCATTGTCTTGGTGGCACATAGCCGTATTAAAGAATCTGAAATATAGACAAAAACAGGCAATTAATCAAAGGTTATGTGGTAAGAGCCCACTAGGTAAGACCAAACTGTTGGTAATGTACCCTGGCTATCAATCTATTTGTAAAGACTTGAGTGGATGGCGTGTGAATCCAATCAAGGGTTTAACAAAGAAAGTCATGAGAACAAGTACTGTAAATAATCAAAGAGACAATGGTGGGTGACCGAATCCCAGACCTGGATGAAGAGACAATGGTGGGTGACCAATCCCAGACCTGGATCAAGAGACAATGCTGGGTGACCAATCCCAGACCTGGATCAGAAGACAATGCTGGGTGACATTGAGTGTGACATTAAGCATCTCAAACCTGGATAAGACAATGTCAATCTCAGAACTGGATAAGTCAATAGCAACTTCAGACCTGGATGAGACAATGGCAATCTCAGAACTGGATAAGACAATAGCAACTTCAGACCTGGATGAGACATCTCAAACCTGGATAAGACAATGTCAATCTCAGAACTGGATAAGTCAATAGCAACTTCAGACCTGGATGAGACAATGGCAATCTCAGAACTGGATAAGACAATAGCAACTTCAGACCTGGATGAGACAATGGCATTCTCAGAACTGGATAAGGCAATGTCAATCTCAGACCTAGATGAGACAATCAAACCTTATGTTAACCCTATGAGACAATCCCACCTTATGTTAACCCTATGAGACAATCACACCTTAAGTTAACCCTATCAGACAATCACATCTTATGTTTACCCTATGAGACAATCACACCTTATGTTAACCCTATGAGACAATTACATCTTATGTTAACCCTATGAGACAATCACATCTTATGTTAACCCTATGAGACAATCACATCTTATGTTAACCCTATGAGACAATCACACCTTATGTTAACCCTATGAGACAATCACATCTTATGTTTACCCTATGAGACAATCACATCTTATGTTTACCCTATGAGACAATCACATCTTATGTTAACCCTATGAGACAATCACATCTTATGTTTACCCTATGAGACAATCACATCTTATGTTTACCCTATGAGACAATCACATCTTATGTTAACCCTATGAGACAATCACACCTTATGTTAACCCTATGAGACAATCACACCTTATGTTAACCCTATGAGACAATCACATCTTATGTTAACCCTATGAGACAATCACATCTTATGTTTACCCTATGAGACAATCACACCTTATGTTAACCCTATGAGACAATCACACCTCATATTAACCCTATGAGACAATCACATCTTATGTTAACCCTATGAGACAATCACACCTTATGTTAACCCTATGAGACAATCACATCTTATGTTTACCCTATGAGACAATCACACCTTATGTTAACCCTATGAGACAATTACATCTTATGTTAACCCTATGAGACAATCACATCTTATGTTAACCCTATGAGACAATCACATCTTATGTTAACCCTATGAGACAATCACATCTTATGTTAACCCTATGAGACAATCACATCTTATGTTTACCCTATGAGACAATCGCATCTTATGTTAACCCTATGAGACAATCACACCTTATGTTAACCCTATGAGAAAATCACATCTTATGTTAACCCTATGAGACAATCACATCTTATGTTTACCCTATGAGACAATCACACCTTATGTTAACCCTATGAGACAATCACACCTCATATTAACCCTATGAGACAATCACATCTTATGTTAACCCCATGAGACAATCACATCTTATGTTTACCCTATGAGACAATCACATCTTATGTTAATCCTATGAGACAATCCCACCTTATGTTAACCCTATGAGACAATCACACCTTATGTTAACCCTATGAGACAATCACACCTTATGTTAACCCTATGAGACAATCACATCTTATGTTTACCCTATGAGACAATCACACCTTATGTTAACCCTATGAGACAATTACATCTTATGTTAACCCTATGAGACAATCACATCTTATGTTTACCCTATGAGACAATCACATCTTATGTTTACCCTATGAGACAATCACATCTTATGTTAACCCTATGAGACAATCACACCTTATGTTTACCCTATGAGACAATCACATCTTATGTTTACCCTATGAGACAATCACATCTTATGTTAACCCTATTAGACAATCACACCTTATGTTAAGCCTATGAGACAATCACACCTTATGTTAACCCTATGAGAAAATCACATCGTATGTTAACCCTATGAGACAATCACATCTTATGTTTACCCTATGAGACAATCACACCTTATGTTAACCCTATGAGACAATCACACCTCATATTAACCCTATGAGACAATCACATCTTATGTTAACCCCATGAGACAATCACATCTTATGTTTACCCTATGAGACAATCACATCTTATGTTAATCCTATGAGACAATCCCACCTTATGTTAACCCTATGAGACAATCACACCTTATGTTAACCCTATGAGACAATCACATCTTATGTTAACCCTATGAGACAATCACATCTTATGTTTACCCTATGAGACAATCACACCTTATGTTAACCCTATGAGACAATCACATCTTATGTTTACCCTATGAGACAATCACATCTTATGTTTACCCTATGAGACAATCACATCTTATGTTAACCCTATGAGACAATGACTCCCTTATGTTAACCCTTGACTCACCTTGTAACCTCCAGAAGTACCGGCTGATCTGTGTTAGTCAACAGCTCAACCAGCAGGTCACTGAAATAGAACAGTTGTTTCATTAACCTTGAACTGGACTGTCCACAATCGTTTTTCAACTTAATCCATTAAAAAAGTTCTTCTTCTCATCTTGGATAAGAATGTGTATGTGCAAAAATCCAATACATTCAAAACTGTTTACTTATCAAGATATTGTGGATCATCTATGTTAACACTGTTTAGCCATGTAGCACTTTTAATTTTTAAGGATGTATAAGAGCAAAAAACAGATTTAATTTATTTTTTTTTTATATATATAAATATGATTCTAGAACTTACAATAAATTAGCATCTTCTTTCAGTATATCCCAGAGGTCCTTGTGTGTTATCATATTTGCCAGCATTCCTACACACATTTCCTGAAACATTTTTTTTAAGTTATCAACATTAATATTTCATACTTACATAATATTATTTTCCTCATAAAATATCAGTCAACATTTATATAAATATATTTTTTTTATAATAAAAGTATTTTGAATTATTTTCCCATATAATATTTCAGAAATCTCTTTTTTTATTCCCTATATCACAAATACAACAACCACATCCCAGCTTGAAGGAGACAAATGTTTCAAGGGCTTTGATGTTAATGACTTCCTGTTACTGCCCAAGTTAAGAAATGACCAGTCGACTAAGACTTACAGAAGCCCTGGGACACCTAGAGTTTGTGATGACATAACAGATGCTTTCTATAGCGCCAATAGAATGAAGATATTGACACACTTCCTGGAGAAAATAAATTACGCAGATAAATAAAAATTTTGATGAATAACAGTGATAAAAAATGGATTTTTTTTTAAATAATTTTTTTTACATTTTTTCAACAATCATTTTCATAAAACAGTCTCATCACAGAATCATCACGCTCTGCTAACATTTTAAAATGCATAAGAACGAGTTTTTTGAAGTATAGTCTCACAAACACAGAGTCACTTTGCCAATTTATTCTTAAATTCATTCTAAAATTGTTAAGAAAAAACAACAACTGGTCATAGGAAAAAATAATTGAAAAACTTACTACATTACTTGTCATATCCCACAAAACTCCCACTTCATTCTGTAATTCTTCTTCCATATCTACCAACTCTGGCTTTTCCTCATCTGAATTGTCAACTTCGGCTTTCAACACAACATTACTCTGAAAAATAAATAATTTTCTCTTTTCTAAGGCACTGTAATGAATATTAAATACAATACATTTAATCATGAAAAATATCACAAGTCCTCACAAGTCCTCACAAGTCTCATACCCAACTATTCAAATAAAAAAAATGTTTAAAAACCTGGCTGAAATGAAATAACAGCATGCTTGTCAAGGTATGAGAATCACTGTGTCAAGGGTGAATATTGTTTTGTTTGTGAGTATGTGGTATCTGTGAGGATCGCAGACTACAGATACTCGTCAATGCTACAAGTAAATTGTTTTATAGTATTTTGGTGCAAAGTATTGAACAATGCTGAAATGCTGGAACATGTTAAAAAAAGGACAATCTTTAAAATAGAGCTCACTTGCATTAACTTCATCACAGTCTGAATGCACCACTTCCCACTGTAGACAGTGTCACCAATTCTGTCTCCTCTCAATTTGTCCAGGTCCACATCGGGTGGTGGGAGGGGATTGCCTAGAGGTCCAGGGTCAAATTCTTCTTTCTCATCAGTATCTTGTTCAAGGAAGCAGCTTTTGTCTGGGAAGCCATCTAGTCAAAGCAATAACAAGTTAATATTTATCATTAAATTTCTAAATAATGGAAAAACTTCAAAGATTTAAATTAACAAACTCATATGTTGGCATACATACCAACCTGTATGCTTTACCTGTACTTTGTACAGTTTTTATACATTTGCCAAGTTGTATGGCTGTACAGGCTTTGTACTGTTTTTCACTGGATTTAGATTATATTTTTGCACAAGACACACGTTTAAAACTGGCAGTGCAATAAATTCATCATTAAACAATAAAAAGCTTAAATTCTATTGGTCCATTCAAAAATGACCTTACTAAGATAGGTAGGCCATCTAAATTTAGAAACAGTGTGTTGTCATTGATATTATTCATTTATGCTAAAACTGTGTAGTAAAGTAGCTAGGGTAATAAGGGGAGAGACTGCAATCAGGGTAGCACAATATAAAATGAGAAAAAACAAAATAGGGTTAAACCTGAAAAAAGAAACGCAACAAAACAACCGACATGTTGGCAGGTAGCCTTTTTTGGATCCAGGCCGACACGTTCGTTGTTTTGTTGCGCTCTTTTTTTTTAGGTTTAACCCTACTTTGTTTTACTCATTTTAGAAAGTAGAAACTACTTTTAGTAGTAAACCGTAATTACCAATCCTTTTGTGCAATTCATTACAAGAACAGCAGGAAAGTATATGGACCAACAAAGGTTGAATATGGTTGGACCAAGAACAGCAGGAAAGTATATGGACCAACAAAGGTTGAATATGGTTGGACCAAGAACAGCAGGAAAGTATATGGACCAACAAAGGTTGAATATGGTTGGACCAAGAATAGCAGGAAAGTATATGGACCAACAAAGGTTGAATATGGTTGGACCAAGAACTGCAGGAAAGTATATGGACCAACAAAGGTTGAATATGGTTGGACCAAGAACTGCAGGAAAGTATATGGACCAACATAGGTTGAATATGGTTGGACCAAGAACTGCAGGAAAGTATATGGACCAACAAAGGTTGAATATGGTTGGACCAAGAACTGCAGGAAAGTATATGGACCAACAAAGGTTGAATATGGTTGGAGAATACTAACCAACCATTAATTGTGTAGTTTATATGAAGATCCCACACTAGAAGCAGAAATTAGAAAGGGCAGGTTATGTTATGCAGGAGAATGCTAAATGAGAGAGAAGTGAAGAGGGTGAGCTACAAAAACCCTAAAGGAAAATGCCTCAAAGGCAGACCTTGGCTTAGATGGATGGATAATGTGGAAAAAGATCTACAGCGTGGAAAAGAAATGCATCAGTTAGGTTTGAGTGGAAGGAAGTGGTGATGCAGGCCAAAGCGTTACATGGGCTGTAGAGCCCCACCGTTGGATGGGGGGAAGGAAGTTGTGAGACAGGCCAAAGCCCTACATGGGCTGTAGAGCCACACGGTTGGATGGGTGGAAGGAAGTTGTGAGACAGGCCAAAGCCCTACATGGGCTGTAGAGCCCCACGGTTGGATGGGGGGAAGGAAGTTGTGAGACAGGCCAAAGCCCTACATGGGCTGTAGAGCCACACGGTTGGATGGGTGGAAGGAAGTTGTGAGACAGGCCAAAGCCCTACATGGGACAGGACAAAGCCACAGGGTTGGATGGATTAGAACTGCAGAGTAAGTGCTCTTTTAATTTCTATTAAACGATTAAATATATTTAATATATTAATATCAATCAATGACCAGTATTAGTCGTTATTCATATTTATTACTCCGACATGGCTTAATTTTACATGTTAAGCTTTATAAAACTAAAAGTGAGTGTGATCTTCTTCATTGTATAAGGCTACCAAATTTAGAGCATAAGTCAAAGACAAATGTAGTCTTTTTGTATTTATCATTTTACTACAGCTAGAAACTTCAAATAAACACTTTTATCCTCATGATATTTCCCTACCATACGGTGGAAAAAAAAGTTATAAGTTGAAGGAAAACTTAATAACTTTGTCACGCTGGAGAAACTATTTCCTATATTAATCTAAATACAGGAATCTGTATTACTAAAGCTAGCATACTTAACCAAAGAATAATTTCTAATTAAATCTAAATTGCTATTAAATTTATCATTGGAGTCTATATTTAAACACATTTCTTTAAAATCTCAAAATTAAACCAAAATGAGAATTAAATGAAGCTATTTTCATTTAAAGGATGCAATCTAGCTATTTGTGATCTAACACTGTAAAATGTTAACCCTATGAGACAATGACTCCCTTATGTTAACCCTTGACTCACCTTGTAACCTCAGAAGTACCCTAAGGAAGGAATACTTGTTTTCTTCCAAATTACTACACGGTAGTGCCAACCATGCTATTATTGCATACTATATGACGGCTACTACAATGGTGCCTATAAAACTATAGTCAAAGTTATAGTGGTAGGCCTATTAATTATACAGTATATTACAATAGTATAGTATAGGGACTTTGATGAAAATTTCAAAACATTTAAAAAATATGAAAACACCACAGCTGTGTAGAGCCTGGAGAATTGTTTACAAAAACACCAAGATCAACTTTCTAACTCAACTTGCTCAAAAGTTTTACATTTTTTAGTAAGGAGTTCAAGAACACTTTTCCCCATTTTGCTTTTGTTTCTACACCTGTAACTTTATGATAAAACCAGACAAAAATATGAGATTTACAGGGAACATAGTTTAATATGAGTTCTTATAAAAAAGCCACAAAATATAAGTTAATTATTTGTTAATATTCCGAAAAAATTGTTTTTTCATCTTGATAATTTTCCTTTTTTAAAAAAAAAAAAATGTGTTAAATATGCTGACTCAGAACTTATTTTTATTGATCAATCAATCAATTTTGTTTAAATATATTATTTTTTAAATTCCCACGAATAAAAATAATATTATTTAGATATTAATTTAAAAAATTTAATTGGAACTGTTTAAAATGTATAAGTATAAACAAATAATGCAAGGATTATTTTATTCATTTAGTTAGAATTGATGATTATACTTTTTATTTTACCATTTTCATTAAATGTTATTTTATTCCCATATCAATATGACAAAAAATTAGTGTGTCATTTATTTTAAGTTAGGCATGTTGTTTCACAAATCAACATGTATTGTAAGAATCAACTTTGGCGGTTGATAGAAATTAAAATAAGTTCTAGTCATTTGCTTGAGGTAAGTACAAGTTTTTATGATTGTTCTTTAGTAATATTTTAAGTAATTCTTGGATTATTGTGGCAGAAAGTGTAATTTTTCTTTGAGAATACTGAAGCTATATAATAATTCTCTTGTGGAATATTGTGATAAGTGATAAGTTAAATATAGGATATTTCAATATGAAAGGCAAGTGAATATTTTTTTTAAACATTTTTACTTAATTTATGCCTTAATAATCATCAAAATATTCATTAAAATATCATTACATATAAAGAATAATGTGTCCTACAAATAATAATTGGGGGTGGTGGCCAAGCCTATACTTTAAATACTATATAAATATACTAATCTAGGCCTATATGCCCTATATATATGTATACAAATATTTCAATTTTAATAATAATAAGGCTTATTTAACCCACTCCCCATTGCAACACCCCTCAATAAAAGCATCAAATCATATTAAAAATATGTACTTGTGTTATAAATTTATTTGTTTTTGTTTTTAAATTAGTTATTATTTATTTATTTAGGCATTTTTATATAGCGCTTACCTTAAAGCTCTAAGCGCTTTACAATTATTAAAAATATGTAAACTAAGTAAAATAAAAATGAAAAACCAGAGACACTAGGATAGTAACTACTATACTATAGAAACAATTAAAATGGCTATAAAACGAGTACACTTTGGCACGTTTTGGCATATACTACAGGATCAACCCGAGACAGAAAATGAGGCAGGGCAAGGAGGATGCATCACAGGTCATAGGCGGACCTAAACAGATGGGTTTTAAGGGACTTTTTGAAAGTAGACGAGGTTTCACAATGACGGATGTGGAAGGGGAGCTGGTTCCAGAACGTGGGCGCATGGAAGTAGAAGGAGCGTTCACCGATGGTCTTAGTTTTGGTTCTTGGGATTGAGAGGGTTCTATTGTCAATTGAAGAGCCTAGTTGACTTGTGGGGATGTAAGGAAGCAACAGTTCAGAGAGATAGACAGGAAAGTGAGGGTCAGTGAACGAGTTGAAGCATAGATTGGCAGACTTGTACTTGATGCGAGAGGATATTGGAAGCCAGTGGAGTTGCAGCATGTGTGGTTGAATGTGGTCATGTTTCTTTGATTTAAAAATGAGTCTGCATGCTGAGTTCTGTGCCTTCTGAAGTTTGTCTATTTGGTGTTGAGGAATGGGTAATAGGCTGGATTTCCAGTGTAAATCAAGTTATTCACTAAAGAAACGACCATTGTCGATAATAGGTAATGTGAATACAATTTCAGGATAATTTTCTGACCACACCGCTGGGCCTAACCTAACAAATTTTGGATATGTTCTAATTTATGCCATTAATGCAATACAGTTTTCCACACAAAAAAATATGAATGAGTGAAATGAGCATTCTTTTATTAGCTTCAGTTTTCAAAGTGAAGCCCTCAAATTCTTTTTTGGAACAAACGTCTAAAGCAGGGGTCCCCAACCTTTTCAGCTGGTTGGACAAATTTCAGAAATAATATTTCCTGCCGGGTCATGCACCCAATTTTTTTTTTTTTTTTTTTACTATTAAAGTAAACAAGCAAGAGTACTACAGCTTTGACCACATTGTCGCTTCCCAGAAGGTGAGATCATGGTCAAACGCTTTCCTGGTTTAATGTAAAAAATACAAGAAATAGGTTTATTTATTTTCTTAAAGAAAATACAAACAGAGAATCAAACATAATTATTAGACAATTAAAAAATATTTAAAAGTGAAACATCTGACTTTGTTTTGCAGAACTAAGTGCATCGAAATTGATCTCGACTGATGTTTTCGCTACACGCAAACAGTTCCAAATGAACATAAGTAATTTGTGTTCTCACTTGTGATTTGATGTGCTTCATATGAATAAAAAGCTGCTCACACGTATAAGTGTTTCCAAATATCGAAACCATCAACAGAGCAAGTTTGTAAAATGCAGAATATTTATCCTTCTCCAAAATAGAACTCTTCCAAACCAACTTAATAGAATTTCTCCTTTAATTGTGTATCTCAACACATTTCACAATGTTCCATTTGTAATCTTCCTGGTAATAAATTCACATCTATCGCGAATGGCGTTTTAAATGTACAAAAATGCACATTATGTTGTTTTTTTTTTAAATCCGATTAGTTTTCAAATTGGAGGTTTAGGTCAGATATCAAAGAAGCTTATGTATCCGCCACATCTAGTGTGACGTATGTATCCGCCACATCCAGTGTGACCTATGTATCCGCCACATCCAGTGTGACCTATGTATCCGCCACATCCAGTGTGACCTATGTATCCGCCACATCCAGTGTGACGTATGTATCCGCCACATCCAGTGTGACCTATGTATCCGCCACATCCAGTGTGACCTATGTATCCGCCACATCCAGTGTGACGTATGTATCCGCCACATCCAGTGTGACCTATGATTGTAATCAGTGATTATTTCAGAAATTTTTCCTTGAAAAGTGGGGGGGGGAGTTGATTTATTGTTGGACATATTTTTGTTCGGGGGGGGGGGGGGGGGGGGGGGCAGTGCCCCCCTGGAGATATAGCTGAAAGAAACCCTGGTTGTAATGACAATGTAGGAAAGGGAGTAAAGTTTTTGTCCTTAACTGATGTTCCCACAGACCGATTTCATTTGAAATGCAGAAATATGATCATAAATCTTATAAATTAATTGATTTTTCTTTGTAGACAAGTATTAATATCATTTAAATGGCTAGTTATATTGACCAGAAATGCAAAGTCACAAACCCACTCTTTGTCTTTAAACTCAAGGATACTAATTAACCTGCTTGCAAAGAATGATTGTATTTCTTGCTGCAAATCAAACACTCAAACATTTTGTTACGGGTAAGCCATCTTACTTCTGCTTAAAATGTAACATCATTATAATCTGACTATAGAAATTCTTGGAACTGACGGTGATTCAACCCATTTGACTTAATGAAGATCACTATTTTGACGACCACTTTCATGACATTGTCCATTTTGAGAGACTTCAAATATAAATTAGCCTGATGAATGATCCAATGAAAATTTAGCATTGAAGCATTACCGACTTTGGAGGCCTCATTTTCCATTAATTTTACTAACCTTTGTATTTCACAACAATTGCTGGAGCACCATCCGTTGTTAAGCCCGATACATTGTAAAGTTGTAACGAAAAGCGATTCAAGGTCAATTTTGCTGCCTCTAACAAATCTTGTGACTTAGTAGTGCCCTTAAATGGATACAGGGCCGTTAATTTTTCTGTCTTTTTAAAATGAATACCGGTATCAACACCCCAGATAAAAATTGCCAGTTGGGGAGTATCTGCCATATCTGTGCTTTCATCCAATGCTAGAGAATAAAATATAAACTCGGATGCTCGACTTTTCAAATTATCTTCAATATGTTTTCCAATCTTGTCCACATGCCTAGTAATAGTCTGATGAGACAGATTTATTTTTAAGAAAGTCTTCTTTTCTGGACACATAATTTCAACGACGCTCTCCAAACATTCCTTAACCATTTCACCATCTGAATGTAATGGCTTTGATTTTTTTGCTAGTATCATGGCTAGTGCATAAATAGCTTTTACATAGCATGTTGACTCTGAACCCGCTCTAGTAAATATATTTTGTTGTGCTGAATTTTTTTTTTTTTAAAGTCATTCACTTGGTCTTTTTGAAATTTCCCTTTGCACTTATAAAACTTATTTGCATGTTTAGTCTTGTAGTGCCGTTTGATGTTATACTCTTTCAAAACAGACACAACATCGTTGCATATCAAGCATGTGGGCTTTGTTTTAATTACCACAAAAAAGTTTATAGTCCACCTTTCTTGAAAACTTACCTATAGAATCGATATGGTAGACAGTATTCATGGTTAAAGTAGTTTGAACTCTTATTACAAATATGCATTTTAACCTCGATCGCAAAATCTCTCCAGATGCAGTGGCGACAATATAACGAAACTACAGAATAACACGGAACTTTGTCAAACTGGACTAAAAGTAGTTATGAGTGTGAGTCCGATAGCGTTGCGAGCCTCCCGAAGACGCCGACGACCACAGAACATATATATCAGAAGTTATAGTCTCATATTAAATTTTATCAACACCTAGCATCAGAAAAAAAACTAAGTAACCTTAAGTGTCAAAAAGAGGGAAATTTGAAATAGCTAAAATCTATTAATTTTCCAAAAATGCATGATATTTAAAATAGCTCAAAACCAATTAATTTTTCCAAAAAATGTGAGATATTTCAAATTTCTCTTAGCTATAATTTTAAAATATATGATATGAACAACTCATGATGTAATGTTCTTTTGGTGATATGTACAATAAAGTTATGTTCATTTGACCATAGCACCGCTGGCCGCAACATTACTCCCTGCCAGCCAACGGGCCTCATGTTGGCCACCCCTGGCCTAAAGCGTCAAATGAAAAAACACTTAGTCTACTCAAAGATGTGGTTGGAAATAGAATGTGCATGCTGGTCAAATTTAAAAGTGGAGGTCGCCATTTTGATAAAAAATCACAATAAATAATATTATAAATACTCGCAGAAGCCTTGTAAAGTAGTGTAAAATACATTTTAAAATGGATAATTTCAAAATAAACTTTAATAAAGTCATTAAAGTAGGCTATAGCCTACCATCATCACCCACCAAACTCAAACCGAATTCAAAAAAGATGGAAAGTTACCGTACATACTCGCATATAAGCCTACATCGCATATAAGCAAACCTCCTAAAACTGCTTTAAAATGGCCAGTTTTTGCAAAAACCCGCATATAAGCCGACCATACAATTGTCTAATTTTACTCCATATTTTTGGTTCATAGAAATTTGTTACTGTAAAGATGTAAAATGCTTACTTTTATGTTACATACCAGTTTGTTTACCTTTTGGAATGACACAAAAACGTGTTCTGCTCTTTCCACATTGTTTGCTATAATAATATCTGAACTTCCGCTCATAAGTTGTTCACAACTAATGATTAACGAAGTATATATTTAGAAAAAATTATAAATAAAGAGTCAGATAGCGATGAAAATGTGTGGCTGGAAAATTGGCATTAGTGTCTTTCCTTGTGTCCATTTTGTTTTATGCGCATAAAAGCCGACCTCCTGATTTCAGTATTGTATTTTATAAGTTCTAAATTCGGCTTTTGGTAATCCCTTATTTTAGTGCGTTTTATTATTTTTAATTTTATTTCTGTAGAAATGATAAAACGCACTAAAATAAGGGATTACCTCGGCTTATATATGAGTATATACGGTAGTTAGAAAATTCTTCCTCACTCACATAACATGGGTATTTTAATTAAATTTTAAAAGTAAATCTGATGAATAAAAAGTAAATAAAAGACTAGGACTAGAGTGACGAATTGTTATAGCCCTATAGCAAGTCACGCTGTTAAGTAAAAGTAAAGAAGTAAAGTTGAATTCAATAAAGACTAAAGTAAAAAATAAATAAGAATACTTTGTTAAGTTTACTTTAAATCGTAAAAGGTAATTTAACAATAATTATTAATAAATTATTAATTAATTGAGAAGTGAGTGGAGGCGGAGGCTAGTGCCTACCGTTCCACTAAGACTAAAAGTGAGTGAGTTATTCTAAGGCGTCTTACCATTTGCGTTAAGACAATTCTGACTCATATTCATATTATGAATATGATTTTAATTTTAATGCTAACACTGGTTTATTTTCGTTGAAATAACTGTTTATAATTATACACAACGCAGATTGAAAACATGAATGCCGCCATTTAATAAAAATTTTATTTAGAGTAGATTCCCTTGGCTTGAGACGTTGAAATCCTGGATGACTGGAAAAAATAAACAATGGTTGGAGGGGGGGGGGCGGCACCAACAATAGAGGCGCACGTTTTGTATTACTTTGTTGCATCTTTAGGTAGGACCTTGTCATTAATACAGGATATAACTATAGATTATCATGAGTCCCAAGTTATTGACAAGGGCAACGATAATTTTTTTTTTAAGCACTGAGGGCGGCATTGTCAGATTTTGCCGCGGGTGCCGCTTTTGCTCGGCACGGACCTGTCCACCCGAACACCATTTTTATTCACGCATGACTGCCCACCTTTCTATTATCATGTGAATAGGCTTACTATAAGTTGAAACCAGGGCCACGGGGTTGGGAGCTATTGGGGCACCCGCCCAGGCCACCAAATTCAAGGGCGCCAAAATCTTCATTTTTTTTCATGCAAACTACGTATATTACTTGATTCATTATTTGTAGGAAGATGGCGCCTAACTTAAGGTTTTGTCCCGGTCACAGCTTTTGATTGCCACGGCCCTGCCTTTAGGGCCGGCTTATCCATCAGGCATAGTAAGCACTGTGCCCTGGGCCTACGAACCTACAAGGGCCTACGAACCTACAGGGGCCTACAAAAGTCTAAAAATTAAATTTTAAATAGGAATGCACTTTTTATGTTTATATTTTAATCAACATTATATAATACATGTGTCTGTTCGGGGCACAATTTTTCAGTTCGCCCGAAGTGGCATTTAGTCGAGGTACCTCAGTGACTGGGACCATGTCCTGCCATTTGATGTTGATATTTCTGAGGCTTGTCGTATGAAAGTGTTTCTTGCATGGCGTTTCACTGGCATAGAGAAGCGTAGTGAGCGCAGCGACCTTGCATACTTTTATTTTAGTTTGAGTGCAGATACCACTCAAGGCCCATATATTCGTAGACATTTTGCCAAAGGTTGCACTGCCTCTTTCAACACGAAGGTCAACCTAGTCATCGAGGGTGTAAGAATCACTGTATTGGTGTGAACTGGCTGTCACCGATAGTTTTTGGGCGTTATGTGAGTTATTGTGGCTAAATATGATTGGATGAAAAGGAAGGATTTAAATTATTATTATCACGGGAGTTGATAGTACACAGTCATCGGCAAATCAGTGGTCTCGAATAACCGTTTCTTTAACTTTCGTTATAGCTTGCAGTCTCCTAAGATTAAATAGATCTACGTCTTTCGTGTATCATATAGGAATGCCGTCATTATTGTCAAGAACAGCATTAGTCAACACTTCTGAGAATACCATTCTAAAAAGTGTTGGAGCTTGAACACAGCCTTGTTTTACGCCATTAGTTACAGGAAAAGCCACAACTCATCTCCAGAGCCCATCATAGCATCATGGAGTAGACGTACTGTTGAGATAAATGTACTCGGGCAGCCAGACGCCTCCCTTATGTTCCACAGGCGAAATGCTGGCTCAAATGCGTTTGTCAGATCAACAATGGTGATGAACAGGTCATTGTGTTGCTCTTGACATTATACTTGGAGCTGGCGTGCTGCAAGATCTTCCCAGCTATGGAAAGGATAGAAATGTTTCGATAGTTGTCACATGTTTGGCGTCTGTCCCTTCTCTTATATAATATGCGTTTGCTGGGTTTTGATGAATTGGACTAGAACTACTATGTATTCCAGTGAATATGTAAGCCTGTATTATAGGTGCACAAAGAAGCGCTTAGATTTATTTTGACATTGTAACATAATATGATGAAATGTATAGCAGTAAAGGAAATTTAATACTGAATTTAGATGGATTTTTCCTTTTTTTTTTTTTATCCTTTATTTTAACTTCGCCTTTGTTCGTGTGTTTGTTTCTGGCTGGGTGTGTGGCAAAATTTTCGGAACCCTAATTCACCCACTTCCCGTCAATCTATCAAGCTGAAACTTGCCGATGACAACAAATTATTAAAAATTTCCAGCCCCCACCCCCCCAAAAAAAAATATATATAAAAAATCAGTAATTCGCGTTTTTCAAGGGGAATGTAAAGGAAATATAACGCGACTGATTTCACGAAATTAAATTCCCGATAAATGCGCTAAATTCACCACTTCCCGTCAAACTTACAAGCTGAAACTTGCCGATGACAAAAAATTATTAAAAATTTCCAACCCCCCCCCCCCCAAAAAAAAATATATATAAAAAATCAGTAATTCGCGTTTTTCAAGGGGAATGTAAAGGAAATATAACGCGACTGATTTCACGAAATTAAATTCCCGATAAATGCGCTAAATGAGATTCGTATAAATATCGAAAGTCCAAGTGCGTTTCGTGCGTATATTTTCTTTTCTTTTCTGAAAAGTTGTTGAAATAAATCTGCGTTGTAAAAGCGGGTGGGATATTAGAATATTAATATATAATAATAAAAAATGCTTATAAAAGAATTATACGAAAACTTTGTATTTAGGTTGGGTTTTTTTAATTCCCACTCCAACGCCAACAATATTTTTTTGTATTCCCGAAAAAAAAAAGGGTTGAGTTCGCTCCACAATGCAAAATCTGATTTAAATTATTAAGACTTCAGTGGATTCAGAAGATCAATAATAATATGACAACGAGGAAGTTTTTATATTTCTTCACGCTGGAAAAGGAAAAAAATACAATAAATGTAAAGTGTAAATCATTTTAATGCACACTTGAGGGCTCTCGTGTTGACTTTAACTTCAAAAAGTTTTACTTTTTTCATTATTTATTAGGACTAACTAGGAGACAAGAAACATCTTAAAAAGTTGAGATTAAAAATGAAATGATTTATTTAATATGTTTACGGAATTTTTTATACTAATAATTTAAGAAGTGGAAGGGTTGCTAATTTTGATATATTCAACTCAGATGACCCGAGAGTCTGGATAAGAGTACTAGTTTCAGTAATATGTCAACTGCAGCGAAATATTACAACAACATTCAACCCTGACAGCACCTCAGCCGTCATGTGACTATTAACCAATGAAACGAGATGAAACCGAAAACATTTCCTCACGTGATAAATTTCCTGGCTAATATCCTAGTCGTGACGTCGATTACTTAAATGTGAAAGCAAAACAGAGTGACTCGGCTTGGTGTGTTCCTGGAGGCTGTAAAGTGTAAAGAGTAGTATATTCGAAAGTGGTTCTTCTGACTAGGAATAAAACGGTGGTTGGAATATAAATTTATTTAATAGTTATTATATAAATATAAGGCTTATTATTAAATAATCCATTGGTTCTGAATCAGTGACTGAGGGAATCGTTTCGGAACCAGTGAATGTCAATTCTGAGGCACTACGGCTACGGTGACTACAGTATATACAGATCACAGTGAAGTGTGTGTGTAGATAACATTCACAAGAAATTATTGATATTTAGACTAGTAGGTGTTCCTCGTTTATGGCTTCTGAAGACATGGATTTGCCATCAAACAATGTTATTCCTAGTTTTTCATTTTCGGGATGTGGATTTTTAGGTGTTTATCATGTCGGTGTCGCAGCGTGTTTAAGAGATCATACAGATGTTATTAAAAGAAACGAAATCAAGTTTGCCGGTGCCAGTGCTGGGGCACTTGTCGCTACGACATTATTATTGGACATAAACTTTGGTACGTATACAGAGGTTTTTGTTTTTTTAAACTGAAATACATTTAAACTTATTAATTTTGTTGCATCACATCATTAGGTCAATTTACTTTTAATGATAATTTCATTCAGCTACCAACGATATGCCATGCTAATGATGATTGAAACATGTTGGTGGTCTGTTATTTTCCCATTGGTTAAAAATGGGGTGTTGACTACAATAGAGGTTGCCATTGGCTGGAATTCGGTCAGACGGTCGAGTACGAAACGCCCCAGTGACCCTTAACTGTAAAATACCCGTAATCAAATGTTACCATTGTGGACATATATATATATATATATATAAACTTAGGGAATACTAGTAAGACCAACCGACCATTGTCACTAATGTCAATGTTATTTAATATCACTTAATAAGTCTGACATAAGACAGACTAGGCCTAGGTGCTCTAGTAATAAAACTACTAGACTAGATGGAGTATATTATAAAGTAAAATACATATTCATATATAAATTATATATAACGAGTTATGGGCCATGACCATGAGTCTGGAGGGAGGTGGTGTAGCACTAATTGGGATTCTTAAGACTTAAGTCATTGACTTAAAAAGTGCATCTCTTGAGTGCATGCTCATGAAAATGAATGCTTTTTCAAGTAACTTTACTTTAGTAAATGCCAGTAAATGGGAAGTTCGCGCATCGCCGCTTGCCAACTAGTAAGTTATATATATATAAATATACCATATACTTTCTTTCATAATCATAGTAAATTTTATTATTAAATTATAATTCATACCTTGAACTTGAATGAGGCTAGAGTATTTTAACTATTGATGGATTATTTAGGCTACTAATAGTAGTAGTAGTAGCCTATACTATTAGTATTAGTCTAGTACCAGTATTTTTATTTATTCGGGACCTTGACCTAGGCATAATTATTATAATTTATAATAAGGCTACCGGAATTACCGTTATTATTAAAATTTAATACTAACGAGCTTTTAGCTAGTTTTGAAACTAATCAGACTACTGACTTAGTTATTAGTAGTAGAAGTAGAGCATAAATTAAATGAGAAATGTGCATGAGGCCCAGAGAGAGGCAAAGTGCCTTTTAAATATTTCTTTAGTTAATTTAATTAAAGGAGGCCACTCAGTTCAACTTTGCCCCCCAAACACAGACGCACACACAAAACGCCAACTGAAAATATTTTTCAGGGTTCATAGTCCACTGGGTCGCTGATATACAGTAAATCTTATCCCAATAATAACGCCTAATACTTTGATTTGTTACATGCTGTAATACTGAAGTCCACCCATTAACTAAACTATCCTTCCATTTAAACAAACTACACAGTAAACAGTTCATTTACAATTTATCTAACAATTTGTTTGTTTCTAATTCTTCGAGTAATTTTAAAAATTTATTAACCCCCTTTCCATATCTGTTAAAAAATTGCAATAATAATTACTTTTTCCTAACAAAATTTATATGAATGGTTAGCACATCTACTCACTCACCAAAAGGGTGTAGGTACTGTCATACTGACCCCCAAATAACAAGCTTATTTGAATTAATTATAGAGAAAATTTTCTCAATGGCAAAAATTAATTTGCATCTTAATTCCTAAACAAACAATTTTTATGAGCCAATTTAAAAAAAAAATATCATTACATTGGGATAGGATATTTGCCCATGTATTTTTTAGCAAACTTATACTTATGCTATTAAATATAATTTGCTTTAATTTTTTTCATCCAATTTGTTTTTACATTTGATTTCCTAGTGTCATTTTGACAATATTAATTGCAGGTGAAATGACAAGGCTGCTCTTAAAAGTTGCCAATTCAGTTCGTAACAAGGAACACTTAGATCTGGCTCAGATGCTTAAAGAGCTTATGAATGAGTATCTCCCAGACGATGCTCATGAACGTTTAACAGGACGACTATATGTGTCAGTAACTATTCTCAGAGGATTAGAATGTGCACTCATCACAGATTTTCACTCTAAAGATCATTTAATTCAGGTAGGCTAGTACACTAACTTAAAGAATAAAAAGAAAATATGAACTCAGGTCCAGAAGTTTTTGTGAACATTTCATAGCAGAACTCCTTACAAAAAAGAATCAGTTTGATCACTTTTCAAATTTAATGTATGATGTGTTCTTGAATTATATAGGATATGATGCATACATAATTGTTAAAAAAATTCAATAGCAATTTAAACAAGTACTAGGAAGATGCATACTAAAGGAATATAGTTTAATTTAAGAGCTTTATAATTATCCGTTGATTTCTTTTATTCAAGACATGCTTTTGAAAAATCAGCCTGTAGACACCACATTTTAAAGAAACATAGAAGTTCTTGATGTGGTGCAATAATGTCTAAATTTATTATTTCTTTCAGTGCCTTATAGCTAGCTCATTTGTTCCTGGCTTTATTGGATGGATTCCTCCTGGTTTAGATGCAGAAGATTTTATTGATATTGACAATGGAGTTCTATTACCATCTGGTCTTGATGGGAACTATAGTCTAGACTCTAGTGATGAAGATGACTATGGAGATTGCAAATATGAATCAAACCGACAAAAGGTAGGAAGATAACGTGAAATGAATTTTGAAAGGACATTTCACTATTGCCACAGTAAATTTACATTGTTATTTTGTAATTTAAGGGTACAGTGATCAGAAATGGAAAATCTCTTATAGGTTTTATGCTTTGTAGCACTACAAGTATAATTGGGGGGGGGGGGGGGGCCACTTGCTTTTCTTAACAAAACATTAATGATGTAACACATTATTTATGCACACTATTTCTTTACAAAGTTAATGTTGAACAGTCTGTCCTCATAATCCTTACAAGTTATTCTGGCACAACAGTAACTTAACACTGTTTGAACTTTAAAGTCAAATAACTAATACTTTCTTGATTTTCTTTTGATTTTTTGCTACATAGCCAATGTGTTCAATCATATGAGCTACTTAGTTTTATATACTAATTATGTGTTGTTGTTTTTCAGTTTAATGACAACAACTTCATTTGAAACATAATTACATTGTAAGAAAACTCTCTATCTAATCTTATAGGTATACAGTACACCCACTATGTGGGATGTCTGTGGCTATGATAATGACTGCCAATACAAAGAAACAAAACAATGCAAGGACGGAAGTGGGGTATGTCATAAAATTGATTATTTTGTATGAGATTGCTCTCCAAATGATGTTAATAAGATTTATTTTGTCTTGATTTTCTATATTTAAACAGTTTCTTTTCTTTTTCTTTATTTTTTTTTTAAATTTAAAAGGACCATTTGAAGTTTGAATTGCATGTGGAGAAAAACATAGAAAATTTTTTTTTAAATTATGAGCCGTGAGATTTACAATGTTGACATTAAAAAGTCAGCACAAACAACTCAAATTAAAACTACACTACATTCAAATAGTTTTATTTTTCTCGTACTCATTAGGGCCAAAGTCTAAATGTTACATTTTGATTTAACTAGGGCTATCTTAACAGACTTGTCAAGTTGTGCTTTAGAAGTATACAAACAACAACACGTGCGGTTCGGAATATGCCAATGGCTTCCCAGATTATTGACAGTGTTGTGCCTGATGGTTTCTGCCTGGATGGTTTCATGGAGGCTTTATTGATGGAGATGGTCTCAAACAGAGTGAGGCTTTATTTTGTTAACATTGTCTCAATGATAGAGATGGCTATAAACAGTGAGGCTTTATTTTTTTAACAGTGTCTCAATAAAACAAAGAATTAAAATAATTTTAAAACTGTCAGCTCTAGTTAATGTGAGTTTAAAAGTAATACATTGTATTAAAAGACACAAACTATTTGTGCAAATAATAAGTTTAGTAGCTTTAATAAATTGGCAATATAATAATAATAAGAGGTCTTATATAGCGCGGTACCGCAGCCTGGGGCTGGGCTCACCGCGCTGTACATAAAAATATTATGAAAAGAAACATAATCATGACATTAAAATAAAATACATTTATGAAATAAAGAACAGCAATGTATATTACCCACCCCACCCCATAACTTTTACAAGGCAAACCATGGACGGCAGCCAGCAAGATCGTTTATCGATCAGAGGAGGGGAATCAGTCAGGATAGTATAATTTAAAAAGATATGTTTTGAATGCAGTTTTGAAGGCCTAGGTGGTTGGTATATTGCGTATGTGTAGTGGCAAAGAATTCCATTGTTTGGGGGCGCAGAAAGAGAAAGATCGTTCATCATATGTTTTAGTGTGTGTCTTGGGAATGGACAGAATATGCGTGTCTGCAGAGGAGCGAAGCTGTCGAAGGGGTGAATAGACAGAAAGAAGTTCGGTTAGATAGGAAGGGCAGGAATCCAAGAAAAAGTTGTGACAGAGAACAGACAACTTGTAGTCAATGAATGCGTGCCTGTATAGGTCGCCAATAAAGGGAAGGTAAAAAGTACATGAATTTAAATTTACATATCTTTATCCTGTGTACTTAATAAAAAGTTAAGAACAAAGTAAAAGGATGGGGGGTCAAGTCCACATCAGACCCTAATAAGAAAAAAGGACATTTGTGTGAAAAAAATCAATAAAACAGGAAAAAATATCACAACTATAGAATGGCTAAATTTAAAAATGATCAATAAAGTAAAACATAATTTATACTAGATAAAAAAATATTGACCATTATTGTTTGCAGTACACTGTTCTAGATGGTGGCTTTTCAGACAACATTCCCTGCTTTGACAACAATACCATCACGATCTGTCCATTTGCTGGTGAGAGTGACATTTGTCCACGGGACCTTACTGCCTTAGACTTAAACGTAGACTTCAGTCACACCAGCCTGCAAGTTAGTGGGGATAACATCTTCAGACTGAATCATGCTCTAAACCCCATGGCTCCTGAAATGCTACTGAAACTTTGTGAAGAAGGCTATAATGAATGTTTGCGCTTCTTACACAAAAAAGGTAGAATTTGGATTTCTTATACACAACTATTTCACTCAACATGTAATAATTTAATATTATATTACATTTTTTTTTAAAAACGGTTCTGCTCTATTTTCTGCTAATGCATTTTAAAAACATTTATTTAGGCTTTTCATGTTTTGGTTATTATTCAGACAGTAAAATGAGTTATTTAGATGTCTGTGATTTGAAACTAGTAATTATTTCCATCTAAAACATAAGGGGAATAACTTCCCATTATCTTTACATTCAATGACTGCATTACGATTATGGGTTAACAGAAGCTTTAATATACTGATATTTGACAATTCCCTCAAAAAGTTTTAGCCTATTACATTAATTTAACATTTAAAGTTGATAGGTTGTTTTTTTATTTCATATACAGACTTGCTCAGCTGCAAAAAACATCTCATGACAAGGGCAACCATATCTTCTTCTCCGTGCAATATTGGCCATGCTCACTGTCGATGCAGGTTGTGCTTGGCCGCTGACACAAAAATTAGAACCTCCTTATCTTGTGGTGATTGCCATTTACAGAAACGGAAGGCACTTAACTCAGTATTGCCTTTAGATGTGAGAAATGGTGAGAGTGATTTATCTGTTTTTATACAATATAACTTTTTAAAAAAAATTAAGTTGTATCTTTTAGTTTAAGGCTTCCCTTTATGTTGTTGTATTTTCTGTACTGGTTCATTTTATATTGTACTATCTTTTTAAAAAAGAATATTTTCTAAATTTATAATTGCAACACTTTCTACATACACAGAATGCACCATAAACAGAATTAATCTTTTAATAGTGTCAGTACTGATACTGATATTTGGCAAACTGTTGCCAGTTATATTATCTTAAAAAATGTCTCACTTTAAAGCCATGGCATGAGGCATCAGTTTAGTTTGGTAGAAAATGTTTCATATTTGTTTGAAAGGGGATCCCTAAAAATGTGGCCACTGTTTGTATTCATTAAGATGAAACGTGTCAATATAATTCTCTGCACTGAGTTTTTAAAATGGAAGTTGTGGCTTTACATTGCAGCCATCTTCTTTTCTCTTCTTATTCCAATATTTCAAAATAGGTTGACGATACACCAAATTATTATAGGTGATTATGCCCCCTGAGACTATAATGTATTACTGAATTTCAGCTTTGTACCAAAATATATAAATATTTATTGTTCACCTGAGGGCTAATAAAAAGTTGGTGAAAAGGGAGCTAGGGCTCTTCTCTGCCTAGAATTGTATGTTTTATTATCATAATCATTTACTCACCATTACCTTTCAACAAACACATGCTGTCATATTAGCATCTGTAAACCTCCCATCCATTATGAAATGGATGTGTATAAAATCACTGCCCAGATACCTTCAAGTATCTGGCCAGAAGAACGCTCAGGATACTCAACCTCTTATCAATTTGAAGAGGGCTGATGTATGGGGTGGACATTCTGGACATTAAGCAGCTCTGTCCACAACATGACAGAACAAGCTGCCAAGCATCAAATTTAGTGGGGCCTCTGCCATCTGTTTTATTTGTGTTTTTAGAAAGGGCTTCAGGTGAACTTAAATTTGGTTTCCTTAATATTTTATGAAATTGTAATGGTTTGCTATTTATCAGTATTTAAAGAATCTTACAGTTTTTATTTTTTGCCAACCCTGTTTCTGCACATGAAATCTCATGAACATTTCACATTGCAATACTTTTTTAATGAAATATGTTTGTGATTAAACTAATCAAGTATTTCCACTCTATAATGTTAGAAGTTTCCCATTACAAAAAATAGTTATGAAAATATTGACTTAAGCACATAAATTGTTTGTAAGGTCAACTCATCTGTTTTTTCCTTTATTTAAAATAAATGAAGTTTAAGACATATTTATTTTCTTCTACTAACCATAAAAAATTTCAGCAAGTTAACCTCCTTTGGAGAAAATAATTTTTCTTAAAGTTTGCTAGTTTCAATTTGATAAAGTTTCTTTTTTCATCATTTTAAATCTAGAATTTGACAAAGCAATCGAGGAGTATAAAAAACAGAAGAGCCATAAGTCTCAAAGTGATACACACTGGAGTAAACTCGTGTCTACTCTCTGGTGGTGTGCAGAGAAAATGTATTCTGGAAGTATACGACTGACAGATCTTTCGATGGAGTAAGTTTTAATTTATATTTGTATTCTTCTTGTGTTACTTTTGATCAAAAGAGCCTGCTGATGATATCATTAAAATTATTATATTTTTATTTGTATCCATAAAGAAGTACTGTGATAAAAGGGAAGTACAGTGTTAAAAGAGTGAAGTACAGATTGTATCAAAGGATGTTTCTACATATGTTATTGAGTTAACCCTTTATTTTACACTATAATCAAGTTGCTGTAAACATTACTTTTTGAGATGTTGACCAATTATACAGAGTGCTTTTCATTTCCTCTCCAAAACTTCCACCCTCAAACCAGCATTGGAGAGGGGTTTTTTTTGTTGTTTTTTTTACCAACTCAGGAATTTCAGTCATCTGTAACCTAGAGTATTTATAATAATGTGTCATCATTAGTTCTGTCTCTCCATTTAAACAAAAATTACCAAATTGTTATAATTTTAAGTCTTAAGAATTTTTCTTGAGTTTTTATAAAAATAGATATAAATTACCCCAATGGAATATCCCTTCTGAAACTTGTGTTGTTGTTTATTGACAGCTTCCATATTTGGTTGATGAGAGTTTGGGACAATATAGCCTGCTTTACAAAGTTTGCTATCTTGCCACTAGGAAAAAAGCGGAAACTTGTCAGACATCTACTATCTTCATTAAAACAGTCAATGGGAAAAGCGTAAGTTACAGCTTGAGATGGAGTTTAGCTATCTATACTAAATAACCCAGTTTGTATAGTTTGCTTTGGATCTTTATACCATACTTCTTGTGATCACTTTTAAGTCATTTAAAATAAAACAAGTATTTTAAATTTATGAGAAATGAATAACCTCATCATACACTTCATTCTTTTCTTTTTTTTGAACAAACTTTTTTGTTAAGTGAATCATCTCTTTATTTAGCAACATATCTACATAACAATTGATTTCAACTGAAACAGCCTGACTTGCCAGTGAATGTTAAATTTGATGTTATTTTGTGTAAAACAGGTCTAGAAGCAGGAGTTCAAGAACTAGCCCCATCTCAAACACGTCGGTGTGCGGTTAGAGACATTGTGTCTTTAAACTGCATTGGTTCAATTTTCGTCCAAAGCATGGCTGCCATCAGACTCCTTTCATTATCATCCTCTGGGACAAAAACACTGCATCATCTAGAAAAGCTGTCATAACTTTGACAAATCTAGCAGGGAACCTCACATCAACTAGAACAGCTGTCATAACTTTGACAAATCTAGCAGGGAACCTCACATCAACTAGAGCAGCTGTCATAATTTTGACAAATCTAGCAGGGAACCTCACATCAACTAGAACAGCTGTCATAACTTTGACAAATCTAGCAGGGAACCTCACATCAACTAGAACAGCTGTCATAACTTTGACAAATCTAGCAGGGAACCTCACATCAACTAGAACAGCTGTCATAACTTTGACAAATCTAGCAGGGAAACTCACATCAACTAGAACAGCTGTCATAACTTTGACAAATCGCAGGGAACCTCACATGCACTGGAGCTGTTTGTCAATGCAGATTGCTCACATTATTGATCAAGAGCCTAGACAGCTAACATCAAGATGTTTAACAGCATTCATCAAGTAGCTTACATCAAAAGTGGCATAAATAACTACATTAAGACCTGTAGCCTGTTGCAAGTAACTGAGCCATCAGTAAGACATAATAAAAATAGAGAAAACATTTCCTAGTATTTAGGCGACCTTCCTTAAAATTATGTGAAAACCCTGATGGAGTTGGGTTTTTTTCAGTAACCCAGGAATCCATACCGGTAAAAAAAAAAAATAAACAAATTTTGAAGTGACAATAATTTGATTTATGATCGACACAGGGAAATTCTGAGGTAGAAGTACAAGAAGCAACAACTGGCATGGTTTTGATATATATTTTAGAGCTCTTTCATTTCAGAATGTGTTCTTAAAACTTAAAGTGGCTTTCCTTTGTATGATTTTTTTTGTTTCTTATACCGGTATTAAGACTTCAGTGATGTGCAATGAGGTGAATTCATGACTAATGTTGTATCTGGTTTTATGTAACTTTTACTTTTAAAGTTCTGTCCTGTCCCATGTGAACAAAATGCACTCACCAAATGGACACAAGTATGGCCAGTATGATTTAACTCACAAGTGATATATTTTTAAGTGGTATGCTTTGTAAATTTTTACTGCAATAGTTGATCTGACAAAAAATGACTACCCATGTAAAATTTTAGTGTCAGAAATCTGCTTGTGATTATCCTTAAACAAGGATCAACATTTTAATGAATGAAAAAATGTAAGCCATTGTTGATTTATTCCGGACTATATGGTAATGTTACAATTTAAACACCCATGTTTTTAGTTTTGTATCATAGCCATAGTATTGGTATAAGTGAAGCCAATCCTTTTTATCTTTAAAAGAAAAAAAAAAAAGGTGGACAAGTTATTTATTTATATCTGTGAAACTATAACAATACCGGATAGTAAAAATAGTACCGGTATGTTGTTATTAAGTTCATGGTAATCATTACAAACAATGTCAGTTATTGAACCCCTATAATTTATTAAAACTTCATTGTAGTTTATTTTTTAATATAATTTTTTCAGTTGATTCATCATGACATACATGGGGGGGGGGGGGGTTTAGAATATTAATATAGTTCAGGGGCGTGAACAAAATATGTGGTTACGAACCGGGTGTGGGGGTGGGGGGTTGAAAATGCACATAATTTTTGTACACCTGATTAATTTCAATATTTTCAAGCTAGTATTTTGAAAGAAAAGTCCATTATGTTTAAGTGTAGTACTGTAATTACATACATTGCCAACTTAGAGAAGACCTCGTTTGGAAATATTCAATATGGGTACTAGATTTCGGTCATATAATTTTTTTTTCTACTGCCCCAATTATTTTTGCAATTTTGTAGGTAAAAGTGACGCCCCTCTTAATATAAGGAAAAAAGTTCTGCCCAGTTTGAAATCACCATGCTTTGGCACTGCTTGTCTGCCCGGGTTGAAACCACCATGCTATGGCACTGCTTGTCCTTGTAGGATCATCATATTACTAGGGCCTTTTGCACCACTCCACCCACACACATCATCTAGGTGTTCTCAACTGTAACAATTTGATTTATAAATAAATTGAACTACAGAGGTATATAATTTTGTTTGCCTTCAACAAGTTTCTGGCACTGGATGAAAAAAAATCTGCCACTTAATGCTGTTTATTTTAATTTGTCACACAATCATAACTTGAAGGGTGAGCCAGCACATGAGAAAGGACAGTCAGTGTGATCAATGTTTTATTTGCAAAATGGCATGACATAATAATCATTGCAACTGCAACCCTTTGTTAAATGGATCATCAACCAATAGAAATTTAAAAATTAGAGCATACTCTTACAGCAAAAATGTACAAATTTAACAGAACATGATTTTTAGAAACAAAAGCTGTTATGTATATTTTAAAATGACTTTTATTGTGCTATTGGTTCTGAAAAACAATTACAGTAAATGACCACACATTATGTAAAATGATCATAGGACAACTATACATATTGGATACCAACAAGCAGTGTCATATTTCAATACAAGAACAACAAATTTGAGTCACAATTCAAGCCAATCTCATCTCAAACACTCTTGCTCAAATCTTTAAAATGACTTTCATTAGAAAAAAAAAATATTCCTAACAAATAATACAATTCAAATTTTTGATGATTGTTTTCAATCTGAAATCTTATAGACCAAAAAGAAAACATGATGAGAAATAGTATCAAATAATTGTGCAATTTACTCAGTTTTGACATAATAAAAATAATATGAATAAAAACATGAAAAATTACAAGTCAATGAAAAAATCAATGAAATTGTCTAAGTTTCCATTAGTGAAACTCTTGTATAGATGTTCTTTTGAAATTAAATGGATCGAAGTGACATTTTTAAAATTTACATCATTTGGAAGTAAAAAAAATATATATTGCATTTTAAAACTCTCATAATATCTCTATATTAACATGTCGGTCAAAGCTCCTGGAAAATTGTTTCTTCTTAAAGATAATATTTCTGGAAACTTAAAATCTTGCTAAAAATGCTTCACTCAATCCTCGCTGCACCCCATGACAATATATAAAAAAAAATGATGGAACACATCTTCTCATTTGGAATGGTGGGATGGTGATCGAGAAGATGGTGATCGAGATCTAGGAGGTGCAGACCTAAAAAAATAAAGAAAGATGATTAAATTTTGTAAAGCTAAAAAAACATGATGCTAGGTAGTAATAGTAGCATCAAATAAAATTATTCTTTTAATTAGAACAAACAAGGATAGAGGAGGCCACGTGCAGAATCTGTTAAGTAAAACTTGAGGTTGATTTTAAGAAAGCTTGCTTTTGAAAATCAACTTTATATACGGTAGCAAACATACCATTAAAATTATTGTTATAATGAGCAATGTTTCCTCTAAGGTTTGTTGGTTTGTGTGCAAAATCATAAAGTTGGGTGAAAATTTTTACAGCATCAATTTTTTTGTGCGCAAAATTTTCAGTCTACAGACACAAACACACACTTAAGTGGAAATTAGCTGCGTGGTACCCAAAACTGCTGCGCAGCGTCTGAGATTGCAGCGCAGCCACGTAGCTTAAAGGAAACATTGATGAGGTATTTGAGTTAAATGGAGGCAATGATTCACTAAATACATAAAATAATGTAGATTGACGCTAACAAAACAGCCTAAGTGGGTAACTCATTTCTTTCAAATAGTAGACAGCAAATGCAGACCTAATTAATAGAAATACCAGGAATAAAAGACAAAGTAATGGGTTGGACTCCTATATAATGTAGCTCACTGTAAAATTGTTGCAAGTAAAATCAATTATGAATTATTTACTTCAGATTGTTTGGCAGGAAATTAACTTTTACCAAATGATATTAGAAATGTCCTAATAATTACATTTGTCCATGAAACTTTCAAGGAGATAAGTTTCCTAGAAATACTTCGCATTAATCAAATAAAATGTTTTAAAAAAATACTTTGTACGGTAAGTGAAAAAAAAAAAAGTTCTTAATATTCATATGTATTCTGAGAAATATAAAAAGTGTACCCCTGACCTGCCACTGAATGAATGCGCAAGCATGACAATTATTTTTAACCATTGTCAGATAGGCCCATGTTTACACAACGTTCATAAAATGAATGGTTACCAATGGCCTACATTCAATTACTTGTTGTTTATATAAGCAGCAGGGTTAAAAAAAAAAAATACAAGTGAAGTAGAAAAACAGGGCAATCCATAAGCTGAAATGTGTATAGCCTGCTCATAAGCAGCGGAACCCATTTAATAATAGGTCAGAGTAACCATAGTCAACCATAATGGTAAAAAATAATATCTGAGATAAATTACTAAAGCCAGCCTTAAGTACGTTTTAATAGACTATTATCTAATCACTAACACATTCAGACAGATGCAACTAAGCAATGAACAATTACTAGATGAACAGGGTTTTGATATTGATGCAAATGAACTGATGATGTCATGTTCATTGATGATCCATAAAATGTACTCATGTGAATGCAAGCCCATTTATATAAATAAGATGTTTGGCTTCCATCAGCATCCAGATGGAAGACGTTACTGTTCTATATGTATGTGGAGGGTTCCTGCAGTGGACGAGAGTGATATGAAACGATTCACCGCTTTTTTTTCTGTCTCAATGACAGCTGACTGCCACCCGCAAAGGACAGCCAAAATTATGATCCCCCGTACAAGGTGGGTCATTTCTCGATCATAGACACAACGGTTTGTAACATTCAAAGCCTTAAAGACAACCAAGTGTTATGAAGCTATGGTCGGCTTTAGGGGAAAACTCTACTTCCAGCAGTACATGAAGGATGAGCAGACTACTTAGGGGTGAAATATTTGATGCTGTGCGGAAGCCAAGAGTGGGTATATTTTAAACTTTAATTTACGCAATAGTAAGAAAGGGGTGAATCCAGCAATGGATTGGGTTACAATGTCGTCACATACAATGCTGTCATGTCATGGCCGAACCCTTTTAGACAAAAGGCACTAGATATTTTTGGACAATTTTCTTTTCTTCACCAAAGCTTGCCGAAGACCTACTGGTCTAAGGCACCTACTGTTGTGCCACAATTAGACGCAACTGCAAAGGCTGACCTCGTTCAAAAAGTCAAAATAAAAAAAAGAGTTGACTTCAAAATGCAGCAAAAGGGGTTACTTTTCTGCAAGTAGACTGATAAATGCCAGGTCCACTAATGCCAACTCAGAGATAATGGTTGTGCAAATCGAAAGGTACAAGTATAGTTGAAATCCCCTGCAGTGTGGACTCTTACAATTCTTAAATGTTTGGGGTTGTTAAGGAAAACATATATTAACGGGGGCTGGGCGGGGTATTGGCG